TGTTCGTTGTACGAGCGGTTAAATTGTGTTGCGTCATTTAAATACGAGGAAAGCGTAGGTATAATATTATAACGTTTTTTTTTTACAAGCCGTCTCAAAGATCAACGTCATCACGTGTCTTATTATAAAGTTTTATGCGTTTTATTATTCATATATAAATACCATGTTAAAGTTGCACAATATTACACAAATATCCTTCGGATTCAAAAAGTTAAATTGTAAAAACTAGAAAATAATATAATAAGTAAAACAGTAATAAATCATTGCAAATAAAAGTAATTAAATAATTTTTATTTTATTCAAATCAATTAAAACGAAAATTGTATTAATTTTTATGTGGACAAAATTACGATTACGAAGTGTTTTCAACAAATCCATATGTTTGATATTTATGTATAAAATGTTTTAAAAAGTTTTAAAGGCTCAAAAATTAACTTATAAAAGTAAAAACTAACTAAGTATTAAAGTAACTAATATGCGCTGAAGAGTGAAGGTATGTATCGGGTGATCCATTTAAGTAGGTACACTCATTGGGTTGGAGAATAGTAGTGCAATATCATTCGTGTGGCGGTACGGCGCGCGGTGTGTTAAAAATACACCAATACTCTCGTCTTCAATGAATCACCCGGTATATAGTTCCCATTAATGTTTAAAATATAAATGAAAATAAACAGTGTTCTTATTAATTTTAAATAATTTAAATTTACCCAATTGTCATTTTGTTAATAAATAATTTTGATGCAATTATATTTATAATTAACTATTATTATAAAATTATATTTCTCAAATATAATGATTAAAATTATGTAAAAATTTCATAAGAGCTTTTGTATAATATTTTTAATTCAGTTAATACTTTATAATAGTCAATTTTCGTGTTGGACTGATATTGCTCGTAATTAAGGAGTTGCGTATAGGCAATCTTCACGTAATTAAAAAATAGGAAATTTACTAACTCAAAAATATTAATTAAATTCAAAATAAAATAAACTGTCAAATAAAATCCCTCATCATTATTATTATAGTATTTTTTGTGCAATTGTCTACACAACACTACAATAATTTTATTAATTCGTCTGTTTCAATTATCTATTAATATTGTATCTCCATAGTTTTTTTTAGTAAGTTTCATATTATATAATATATACAAATATATAGATATGTAGTGTGACAATGCGTGATAATAGAAAAGATTATGTTACATATTGTTCTTTCCGTATTATAAAAATATGTTTTCTTTGTTCTAAAATTCGGTTTAATTTGAAGTATTTGCGAGGTTCCAAAATGTCTTTGAAAGCTCTCCAGCATGTGTTTTTACGTTTCCTTTGTTTTAATTGTAATATTTCTAAAAAGCCCCATTTTGATTATTGTCCTATTATTTTCTCCTTAAATCTGGATTTCTTCAAAATTCAGAAAACTGAATTAGATTTACGTTTCTTATTTTATTAAATTAATAATAACATTGATTAAATTATGTTGTAGTTTATTCTACTAGATCTAATACTACTTTCTTTATTTTGCGTGAGAAAAATGCTTTTAATAACCCATCTATTTATGTATTTGATTCACATTTAAATATCACGTGTCTTTTACTTTACGTTAAAATGCTGTAACTTATTACTTAAAATTAATCTAATTTATTCAATTTGTAATTTTCACCTCTATGCATTATTCAGCCATCTACTTAATTTCTGTATTTTTAAGATTCGTAGCGGAGTGAAAATTCTTTTGGTTTTATTTTGATGTGTGTTTTTTTCTTATTATAAACAACCTTTCGACAGTAAAACTTGCTCTAATGTAACAAGTGTAGCACTTTTTCTGAAAGGTGCACTTGTGGTTTTCGAAATAATTGGAAAAAACTAGAAATAGACGAAAAATAAAAACTGATAAGTTCATGGCGTGCGATTTCATTATTTTTAATTTGTCTGCTTTATAAAAAATAATGGTTTCATTATTTTAAATTTTGTTGTAATTCATTTAAAAATATTGCTAATGACTTGAAATTTTAACAATACTGTAATATAGTAATTTTAGATTTTGAGCGAAACGAGGAATGTATTGGTTTTACAATAATATATTTTTTTTTTTTATATGTGTCACTGTGTTTATTTTGTTTACAACTTTCCTACCAGAAATTTTGCTCCGAAATTCATTTGTATACCTTTTATACAATTTTATATGAGAGGTACATTAAGAAGTCTATATTTTGATTTTTCAAAGTTTTTTTAATAATTGAGCAAAACAGAAAAAAAATGCAACAGTACGGGGAAATCTATAAAAATAATTCTTTAATTATTTTAAATTTTGTTTTTTTTTTTAATGTAATTTAGTTTAATATATTTTTTTATAAAGACTTGAAATTTTGATAGAAAACTTATATTTGTTTTTTCTAGACGTAGTCAAATATCTTATCCATTTTTGAACTAGTTATATACACTTTAATTTTGTGAGTTTTATACATAATTTTTATTCGGTAGGTACTCTTTAGATAAAATTGTTAAACTAAACGAAAATGCTTGAAAATATAAGAGGTGGTTCTTTAAATTTCGTACTTTGTGGTCAAAAAAAAAAAATTAAGCTTTATATAGTATTTTTTTTTATTCTGTCTTTTTCAGAGGAAATTTATTATTATCAAATTTTGACGAAAACCGTAAATATTACGGTGAAACAATGTAAAACATGTAAAATATCCGAACCGTATTTTGTTATCAATAATTTATCGTTGGTTATAGATATAAATTAAATACATTTATGTATTCCACCTACCCCACTACTCTCCAACAATAGTGGCTGCACCAATCCCCAGTATCAGCTCTTTTTAAGATTATATTTCTCTATCTACCAGAAATCTTTGCCCGAATTACAAAAAATAACATATTTTCTGAAATAAAATGTTGTCTTTTTTATGAGTAAGAAAGTCGTTTGATTTTCCGTATAGTTTTCCTACTAATTAATTAAGGAAAAATTCGATCTATAATAAATGGACGTGGCCGTTTGGACGTTAGGCTTAGGACAATCTGAATTCGGATGTCCACAAAAAATAACAATAAATAAATACAAATATTAATAAAAAAATAGTATAATACAAAAAAAACGCTATCTATTTATTATAATACGCCAAATAATGATTAAAAAAGAAGTATTGTTTTTAAAATTCTGTCCTAAGATAATTGGGACCTCTTTAAAGTACCTTCCCAGTCAGATTTCCTTTCAGATAAAGTGCCATCATTGTAAATCGGAACAAAATTGCTAGTAGAAAAGTGGTTCATAGAAAAAAAAATAACTATAATAAACATCATTGTAAAGCCAATATCTTCTTCGCTCCACTCAGAATCTAAAATCATATAGTATCGCATCATAGTAAAACCTACAATATAAATTATACATTTCACTCGGCAGAATCTTTAGAACAAATACATTTTTACATTTGCTTCTTACACACAAGATGTGTCGGGCGGGTGGTCAAGTCACGTTGACCTAATCTGGAGGCAGATTTGATTTTTTATGGCTGCATAGGACATTCAGAAAGTTGTATTAACCGTTACCTACTATTATAGTGTACGGAAGTAAAATAAACATATTTTTAATGAGACTTTGTACAAGCAGACGATCAATAAACACATAATATATTGCTCTAATATTAATCCGTACTGCACTCTCGAGAAATGCAAATTGTTGAACTAATAATATTCAGTAAATATATTATATTATATAGAAATAGTGATTGTATTAACTATTAAGTGAATATTATATTGAGTGTATAATTTTTTTTTACAGTCTGTAGGGGATTCACGGTTCCTTTACTTGCCCGGCTTGACTCATCGCATCTATTATACTTAACCAATTTAAAAAATATGACTCTTTAACGTTCGATAGAAGCGAAACGTATCTACCTACCTATCTATAGTTATTATATTGTTTTTCAAGACACCGTATATCTTTTGGCGTTTAAAATTTAATAATTTGGTGTTCGACAACCGAAAAATTGCTCTCTATAAACATACAGTAATATATCAATTTATCATAATTATTAAAAAATTTTATAACAATATGAAATAAATAAAACAAAAAATATAAAAAAATTACAATAATAAAATTCCTAACCCAAATAAAGGGTTGGATTTCAAAATTCCAGAGTAGGTAAACTACAACTTCGAAATTTCGAAATAATATTAAATTGTAAAATCCAATTAATCATTTTTGTTTTGCTCAATTTTTTTTTTTAAATTTCATTTAAAAACCAAAAACAACTTTCTTATGCTCCAACTAAATAATATTTTATTTCAGAAACTCTTAAAATTTGGAAATTTATGGTAGATAACAAAAAACAAACAAATTTAAAATAATGAAATTGAAAACTCCGCGGTGCGCCGTAAATATTTGTTCGTGTTTCCTATACGTTTTTCCCTTGTTTTCCCATTTATTAGAAAACCATGTGAAAAATCATATAATTTTCTCAATGCTCCAAATAGATCCAAAATTGAACAAAAATGTCTCTTGTTATTTTTTGATTGGAACAAGACTGCTGGTAGTTGCTTACAGATAGGAAATTTAAAAAAAAAGTACTCATCATAGTAAAACCAATATATTTCTCGATACGCTTATAATTAAAAAAAATAAAATATTAGAAAATAACATAACTAATAAATATTAATTATATTTCTTTTGATACATTGTATCATAACTAAACTATTAGTTACTAAAATTAATTTATATATTTTCAAATTAACTTCTACTCATCTTTATTATCATTACTATATATTATTATGACGTGGGGGGGGGGATAATTTGGTTTAAATTAGGTATTTGAAAACTTGATTAGTTTTGTATATTCGCAACGAACAAATAAAAATCCAAATTTCTGCATATGCATATTTTGTGTCACGGTGTAAACTTGCGTACGTAGGTAGAGAGGAACAAATGTTATTATTATAGCAACAACGTGTTGAGCCAAGGCCATTCAACTGCACGGCGGCAGAGGATATCCAATACAGTTTTGTGAATTGTGCACGAGAGACGTGTCATGGTTTACACGACGAACGGTCGCCATGCAATATCATCGGAGAGTCGACGGCGGGCATCAGACGAGTCTGTTTACCGCATAGAAAATAATATTTTATTGTAATCGTTTTGTTACATAACATTTCATTGAAGCAATTATTATTAATTTATAATATTAACTGTAATTATATATTATAGTAAAAATTATTTGTTTTATCTCGAACGTTCGAAACAACATTATAACGTTAAATTATATTTTGTTATTCTAAATCGTTTTGAAATAACTCCGCATCATATATAAAATTATAGTGACTATTTATATATATTACATTGTTCCCATATTGTTATTTGATACTACGATAATGCAGTGATAACGGCCGCCGCCGACTCACGATTGGTGCGTGAGTAATATTATGGTAATAACCGACGATCGATAGGACGATAAAATTTCACACCAATAATAATTTTATATTTCTATATGTACCATTCGGTGTTCCGATTGTTTAAAATAAGTTCATTATCGTTTTTTATTTTTATTTTTTTAACCATGACCTGACCGAGACCAAAACACGAATTTTTTTGTATTTGTAACGTGTGATATAAACACACCAAATAGTGTAAATGATAATTGCATCGTTGGAAACTACATATTTTATTATAATAGCGCGAATCTTTTTTCCTGTCAAGACGATATTATACTCGTATTCTGAGATTACGTAGAAAAAAAAATCATATTTTAAGGTAAGATTTATTCGTTTTACTATTACATATTAACTACATTAGAGTAATCATCGAGTTTAATCAAGGGCTCGATATCAATTACACACCCACCCCTTGGCCTTTTTTTACATAAATATAAGCTATTTTTACAGTGTTAAATTAATAAATTATTTATATCTTTAGGTGTCAGATGCCTGTAGAAAAAGTAAAAGAAATTACTAATGTAAAACGATTGGCAAAGTTTTATTTGACACTTATTGAAAAATACAATTTTACAGTTAATTATTACATAAATTATTTAAACCACCAAATAATTAATTTACATACCCTTAGCCCCAGTGGCGTATTTACGGTAAGGGGGGGAGGTGCTGGAGATTTCTACCCCTCCCACGGATTTGTTTTGTTTAACATTTTACGACGTCTATAAAAATCAAATATAAGTTTTCTGTCTAAGTTTAAAGTTTCTACGAATATTTTAAACTAAATTACAATAAAAAAACAAAATTAAAAATAATAAAAGCGTTATTTTCGTGAATTTTCCAGTTTTTCTGGCGTTTTTCAATTATTACGAAAACCGCTGGAAAAATCAAAATATAACATGTCTAAAGTACGAAGAAGATGAAATTGTTTTTAAGAAAATTTGCTACACTCAATACACTGGAGCATAATTTCTGGTAGAAAAGTTGCTCACAGATAACAAACAAAAACAAATGAATAAACATCACTGTAAAACCAATACATTTCTCGCTACGCTCCGAATCTAAAATAAATATATATATTTATATATAAATATGTAGACTATTTCCTATAATAATATTTTATACGGAATTACAACAAAATATTTGTATATAATTATTCTACATTCTTATAGGTATTATATAATATACTTAGTGACTATATCGAATAGTTTGTATTTTGTACATAGGTCTTAAAATAATAAAAGTAATAGGTCTGAACCAGTTTTCATCTACTTATAATAATATATACGGTATCACACGTCCGAAAAGTGTTTTTTCATTGATATACGATACTATAGTGGTAATATAGTATTGTTATTATTATATTAATGATGTCGTGATAATAATAATTTTAGTAAGTATACAATATGCTACAATGACAAACCAGTATTAAAAAATGACGCGTGTCTGAAACTAATTAATATAATAATAACAATAATAATCATCATCTCTGTACTTTTTTAGACATAGGTCATAATAACGGGACGTACAACACTCATGTTGGACGTTAACGGGACACTGTTCACTATAATGTATTATTCGATTATTATGAACGTACTATACTAACACACACAATAATAAAGTAATGACAGCCGATAATTATTTTAGTGTTATAATGCTCATTTTGAAGGCGCGATGTTCACACGTTCGCAGTTTAAGAGAGGAGGCCATAAATTAGTTAAGGAGATTGGTAACGGTTTTCCAATTTTATCTAATTTTGTAAAGCTCTAAACATTTATTTTACATTTTGACGACCATCATATTGATAAAATTTCTCCACTTTTCTGAAACCCATTTAAGGATTACGGCCACTTTTACGAACGGATATAATGTTTTAGACCGAAAAACCAGAAAAAAAACTGTAGCAATTGCATTTAACGGATTTAGATTTTGAAAACGTATTATGATTAGATTAGGTTCTTAACTATAATACATAGGAATTAATTTTTTCACAAATAAAAGGCAAAATAGAAGTAAATTTTGAAATATTTTTAAAAATACAATCAATTTTTTTACGATTTTCAATAAAAAAAATGTAATTTATATGTCCAATATTTTCAAATTTATAACCTGTTAAACGTAATTCCCACAGTTTGTCTGACTTTTAAGTTTAAATCGACTAAAAATGCACCGTCACCAATCTCCTTGAGTTATAATTTAATTTTGTTCAATTAATTTTAATTTGACTAGTTTTAAAAAAATTAATAGAATAATGTTAAGTATAGAAAATAAATAAGTTAATTCTTTTGTAGTAAATAATTTCAACTAATTTTTAGATTCTGAGGGTAGTGAAGAATGTATTAGTTTTACTAAGATATTCATTTTTTTTTTCATTTTTTTTATACTATGTACAAAATTTTTAACTAATAACAAAAAAATAATGCTTTTATTATTTTTAAATTTTGTTATTTGTTCTAATTCAGCTTAAAATTCGTATCGAATCTATAGACTTGAAATTCGGACAGAAAACTCATATATGCTTTTCTAGATGTAGACAAATGTTTCAAAAATTTAAGCTATTTTTGAGCTATTTACTTTGTAGGTACTATGTGGTAAAAATGTTAGACTAGAACAGAAATGCTTGAAAGTTTAACAGAAAATTCATTAGGAGTCTTAATTTGCAGTAAAAAATAAATAAAATTGAGTTTAATGTAGTATTTTTTTTTTATAAGGAAATTTTAATATCAAATTTCGTCAAAAATCATTTAAGTAAAAAATTATGCGGAACAAAACTAATTTTTCAATTTTTTTTTTTTTCGAACATTGTATATGACTGATTTAATAAAGATGGTGAAGTCAGAATTAAGCAGACTGACTATGTTTCGAAATTACAGCTTTTTGAAGTTCTGTTATTATGTGGGTATTATATAATATGTCAAATAACTCTATATTATCTATCTTAAAGTATATTTGTCGTAATCTAATGGTTGTTTATGCCTATTATCACCCTAGAGGTTCTCCGAGATCAAACTCTATGTCGTAAAATCATTTTTTGCATTTTTTTCCTGTTTCACTTATACTAGGAAAAACTAATAAATTTTGGGTGTGTCTAAAAACCCAAGCCATCGCTCGTTCGGGCTATTTTAATTGCAAAATATCCCTCGATTTCTGGTACAAACTTTTATATCAGAAATTTTGCTCGGATGTATCAAGTGCTTATTTTTAAAAAGACATTTTATCTCCATGGTAATTTAGGGAAGTCATTTTTTTGTTTTTTAAGCGGTTTTTATGTTTGGGAAAAACCGGGATAAAATGTTGGAAAACAGAAAATGTACGTAAAGTAAGTATTAATAAAACAATATTTCACCCTTCTTTTTTCCTCTGAACTTTTCTACCAGCAGATTTTCTCCGATTTACAATGATTAAACTTTCTCTTAAAGGAAATCTGATTGAAAGTACTTTAGGAAGGTCACTTTTCTATTTTCCTAAAAGTTTTCCTAGCAAATGTAAAAATCCCTTGGAAAACCAGGAAAAACCGGAAAATCGGTATAATATTAAACAAATATTATTAAAGAAAACACGTAATGCCTATTCAATTATTTCACCATATTATAACATAATATATATTGTTGACAAAGCATCATTATCAACTGAACTGCGCTCAGAATCGTTGTTTTGTTAGTCTATCTGGTTTATCGTTGATTACAGATATATATTAAATTACCTATTACAGTGGCTACATCCGTCTCTATTAACCTAGGATGTATTTTTTATTACCTATTTTCTTTAGATTTAAGTAATTTCTACAAATTTATTTGCGAATATTTTATATTAAAACTTTATGCTTTTTGTTCAACGAAAATTACGTATTTTTACATGAAACGTAAATATAATATTATTATCACAATATAATGGGCATTTGGCTTATGGGATACTAATACGACTCTTATATAATTATATAACTATATACGTTTACCACACACAATATATAAAGTACGTTTATGAATTAAGTAGGTAGGCAGTAAAAAAATAACTTTTGACTTAACTAAAGTTAAGTTATTTTCTTTAAAATTTGTGACTTGATTTACTCAATTTCAATTATATTTTAAATATAAAAATACATATCTTTTTAGAATTACTTAATTTAAACTACTTTAAAAAAAAAATCGGTTAACTTGCCCGCCTTAGGACAACTCAATTTGTTACGTTTAAGTTGAATTTATATAAGAGTTTCAAATTGCCAATTTTAAAGAGGAAACCATTTTTGAAGATATTATCTACGCATTGCTGTTCTTGTAAAATATTTTTTAAATTGATATAGCTTTATGGTTTAACAATATTTTAGAAAAACAGCAACGTATTATACTGCATAGTCCTTGGAAATATTCTCTTATTTGAATTTTAACTATCTACACTCAAATTCTAATATTACACCGTCTGCTTTTAATCGAGACAATTACTTCGGGGATTTTTTTTGAAAATCATAGAAAATCTTAAATTTTTTACGAGTAATAATATGGAATGTGTTTTCATTTGATCAGATGTTTAGTTTTAAAACCAAAACGTTTTGTTACAAAGATAAAAGTTAAAGAATGCTTCTTCTAATTATAATTTTGCCAGCCATGTTTTAGAAAATAATTATACTTTTTATACTTTTAACTAATTATATAATTAGTTAATTTTGATATAAATAATGAATTAGAGATTTTGAATACCTGGTCATTGTTACATTTATTCTGTATTGAAAGAGTCTTATATTTGTAAAGTGAGGTCCAGAGAAAAATGTAAATTTAAAAATATCTCGAATATATAGACCGATTTAAAAATAATATTGTATATCAACAGTTGTTTAGTTAATAAGGTACCATATTTTGTCATAAATATCATTCATAAGTGCGTATACTCAAAATTAATTTACCAATACACCACTAATAATACTACAATAATATATATATATGTATATATTTTGTTTATATATCTGAATAATAATCAGGTACGTATACAGGGGGGGGGGGGGTAAAAGGTTCAAATCTCTCCCTGAAATTTCATGAAATTATGATGAAAATAGATTTTTAATAAAGTCTCAAAAGTGGATTTTGACAATAAGGATAAATACAATTTAGGTTTTATTTTTATTTTATTACTAGATAATAAGTACTTATATAGGTTCTGTTATTATTGTCATTTCTAATTTGTTGTGGTTTTCCTGATTATAGAAAATACGGGAATACCGTATAATCCGCATTATCATCACAATAATATGAATTACGTTATCATTTAGGCTGTGTTTACTAAAAATATTAAATGTAAAATTTAGTAATAAGTACCTAAAAGCCTTAAAAGCTGTCCTAGGATAATGGGGACGTGTGCAGCCACTGTTATAGGTAATTTAATGTATTAAGCTACGATTAACCATTGCTAACGATAAAACGATTCTAAGCGTTCGGTTAATAGCATTGCTTTGTCAACAATATATATATGTAAAATTAGGGTAAAATAATTACATATACATTATATATTTTGTTTAATAATAATTGTTTAATATTGTATCTATTTTCTCGATTTTCCTACGTTTTTCCCGGGTTTTCTCATTTATCGGAAAAACTTCTGGAAAATAAAAAAATGACTTCCTTAAAGTGCAACTCCAGTCAGATTTCCTACCAGAAAAAAGTGTTATCATTGTAAATCGAAGCAAAATTGCTAGTAGAATAGTTATCCACATATAAAACATCATTGTAAAACCAATACATTCTTTGCTCCACTTAGAATCTAAAATGTATATTATAAAATATTGACGTTTTTAATGAAAATAAATAATCCTACATTTGAAATTATATAAACTTTTTTTTTATAATAGTATGAAACTGTACAACCTTAAATTCCCCTGAAATATTTTTTTGTGAACACACCTGATAATAATCATTGTTAATATTTTTTTGTTTTTTCGTCAACATCAGCGGGTTAAAACTATTGCAGGAATATACAGATAATAATATACGTATTGCATAAAATAATCTTTTTCTCCCATCTATTGGTCGATTCGTTGAAGATGATGACGGTAACCGTAATGACCACATAAAACGATGCCTATAATATACCTATTATAAAATCATACTTTACGTGATTGTACTTTGAACTAATATTAATATGGTACAGTGAGTGTAGAATAATAATTCGCACTATATTATTACCAATACGTAATACTAGGATTTTAAATTATGATTGGGAGAATGTATTATTAGATTAGGTGAAAAAATTAAGTGCGTGATGGGTTCTTATTATATTTCAACGCAAAATTATACTATACGCCGGAACAAATATTTTATTATGAATAAAATGTATAACGCAATAGTACCTACGATATCGCGTAATCGTTTTCGATGTAAAAGAAAAACGTGTTTTTTTTTAGTTTATTTGTATAAAATATAATATCGTATTAGCATAAATTCATTCGGGTCGACCGTGGTTTTACATTGGCGTTTATATATGAATGTGTAGTGTTTTCTTTAAAAATTGCTTGAAAAACCTAAGTAAATCGGTGCCGTTTACTGGATAAACCCGTTTATAGCCGAATCGTTTCTGTAGAGCCTTTGTCACGAGTTACTGTTTTTTTCTAACTGGTAACGTTAGAACTGCATTAGGTAGCATAAACGACGTTTTTACGGAAAAACCGAAAGGCCTTAAAATTCGGCCGTAGACATAAAACACCAATTACCTACACTAAATGTAAAGACGAAATTACGACAACGACAAAGATCGGATGAAGACAATCAATTTACAATTCTCTAAATATATTCTATACGGTCATATCAAAGGTACAAAACTCATATTTTATGTATTTATGTATTGTATTTAGATTCTATCATTCTGCTAGTGACCAGCGAAAATTAGTATACGCAAATCGTTACAGAGATCCGTGTAAAAAAAAAAAAAAATGTAATTATTCAGTCTATCGATTCAAAATCAATACTAAATAACTCTTTTATACAAGTATAATAATAAAAAAAAATATCGCTTTTTGTAACTTGTATAATATTTGCATTTTAAACCGAAGTGATAGTATATCTATAGGTATTTTATGTATTTACATTATTACTCATACTCGTACCTTATAGTAGTAAACAATGTGAATTTATTTTTTTTATTTTTTTTACTCCCATAGTATTATTTTAATTCACATAATATTCCATTGGTGTTTTACGTATATATTATTATAATATATTGAATTAGTTTATATAGGTACTTGTATTTTTTTTTTTTTTTTTTGTGTCTTTTATAACTGATTTACTCAGATTTAATACAGATTGTATTCGTTTATCATGGGCCAGCGATTTTCTTAGATGATATTAATGTAGTGATTTTAATTTCTGTTTTGTGTTTTCAATCATTGCGAAATGAAACACTATTTTCACCTTAAACGAGTATTTTATACACTTTTGGTTTTTAAATAACAACCCCTTTTCTCCCTAGTTTCACACAGATTCGGAAAACATGATAGGTACTCGTAACACTAATGATATACCGTTTATTATTTATAACAGTTAAAAGTTTAGACAGTAGTTGCTCTGTTAGTGGTTGATATATGTGTTTCTGGTGTACAGAATGATGATAGCATTTTGAAAATATATTGTAAATATGATCGCATTGGACGATTTTATACTGAGTAAAAAAACTGAATGTAATTTTATTTAAAATTATTGTAAATAATGATGAATCATGACATAAAAACAAAATAACCCTGTATAGGTAACGCGATTAAAAATATTTAGACAAAAATAATCGGGTAATAATAATAATAATAATAATAATAATAATAATAATAATAATAATAATAATAATAATAATAATAATAATAATAATAATAGTAATAATTTAATGAATTTGTAATTCTCTTTCTTACAAAATTATATACCTACTCATAATCAACAAACCTATTAAAATTATAAAAGGTGCAATTATTTTAATTAGTAAAAACCGACTAAACAAGAAACTAAATAGAAATGGAAAAAACAAGAATGTGACTCACTTTATGAACTCATATTCTTGAAACTGGTAAAAGTTCAAATTTCCCTAACTGATACTTTGTTTATGCTGATTTTTATTATTTTTTTATGAATATATTTGTATTCACACATTGAGTTCCTAATGATTATGATAAAATACATGAATTTGAAAAAAAAAAATGAAAACCGTTTTATTTTTATTATCGATATATCGAATTCCATTAACAAAAACTTATGATATTAACACGGATAAAAATAAAATAGGTTTCTTTGTACAATTATAATTGATTAGTGTAATAGTTTCCAAAAATGAACGAAAACAACTACAATATAATAATAACATTTTTATCATCGCTTATTATGTGTTCAAAAATAATAAATAACAAAGACATTAAAATTAGGTATCCATACAACATACCAGATGATTATAAATTATGCAGCTACGTAGCACGTAATCGACCGACAAAACATTAAATTAAATTTCTACTAATCTCAAGTGGCTTAGGTTAAATAATATTCGGCTATTATAGTGTTATTATAATGGATGAAATTTTTACTTACTACAATATTGTATTGTCTTCATAATAAGAATATTATAATTTTTTTAAATTTTTTTAAGAATAGTGTAGCACAGAAACTATTATACAGAGTACCTAATCGATTGAATACGTTGAAATTCTGAATTTTAGAATTTTTAAATGCAGTTAAAGTAAAAAAAAAAATCAAAATCAAATCAAAAAAGACTTCCTAGGATAATTTAATGTATACCTGTAAGCAATGATTCTGAGTTGATAGATATGCTTTATCAACAATATATATGCAATTTTATAGAAAAATAATTAAATAGGCTCTATACATTTCTTTTAATAATAATAATTGTTTAATGTTGCACTGATTTTCCCAGATTTCCCACGTTTTCCTAATTTTCCTATGTTTTATCCCGGTGTTTCACATTTGCTAGGAAAACTCTTGAGAACTCTGGGAAAATCGAAAAATGACCTCTTTAAAGTACCTCCCTACGCCAATTTCCTTTCAGATAAAAAAAAAATATATATCATTGTAAAACTATAAGTTTCTTCGTTTCCACTCAGAATCTAAAATGACCTTTTTGATCTTTTAAAAATCGATAATACTTTGTTATATTTCAATTGGCGCAATATTTTTGGTAGAAAACATTGTGTGTACAAATTTAAAATAATGAAATCGGTAATACTGCACACTTCCCCAGCGTGTCTTGAAGATTTACCGTGTTATCTATAATTTTCTTTCTGGGTTTTTACAATTAATTTGATAACCCTTTAAAAAATCAAAAAAATGACCTCCTTAATACACCAATTTACCTTCCAGAAATAATACTTTACTTGATAGTTCGGAGCAAGATTTCTTGTAAAAAAGTTGCTCACTGACAAAAAGAAAGAAATTATAGTAAAAACAATAAATCCCTCGCGACGCTCAGAATCTAAAAAATCATTATTATGTAGTGGCACGACGAACGTCGTTTTCATAATGCTCCATTACTCTACACCTACCCAAAATGATAAATGGAATATCTCATCAACGAGTTGACTGAAATTAAAAATGTTAACAGCAAAATGTATTACTCTAAATTCATATGATACTCTATTTATGCAATTTTTAATTTAGGTTCTAGTTTAAAAAACCAAAGTTTGTATCGTCACAAGATTCTCTTTAAATGTTGTGAAAAATCTAAGTATTCGACAATATCTGCTTTTACTACACCAATCAATTCCAGAAATCAAAATAAAATCATTATATGTATAGTTTTACTAAGATACTATTATTTTTTCAGAAACCCGTTTTCGTATAATAAATATGCTTCGATTTTTATACGTTGTACCTTCGAATTTGTGGAAATTTCGATCCGTTAAACTTTACTTGAAACATTTTTAGAATTTTTCAACAATTGACCTTCTAAATCATTTTTAGAGTAAAAACATTTTTTATAGTAAAATACTTTCGTTTGGTAACAATTTGTGATTAATTCTCTGTAGCATAGGATCGTGAAGGATAAAACCAGTTTAATCGCTGTGGTGAGCCGATAATGATATAACTTTTTTCCTACATAGATTATTTAAATATTTTTCTACCGGTATAAAACAGATAACTAGTCCAATATTTTAAACGGAAAATCGAATTTTGATATTGAAATTAACTGATTTAAAATATCAGTTTTGAAAAAAAAAAAAAACAATATTAGCCTATGCTAATTAATATACTCACCATTCACCACTATAGTAAAGTGATCTCAATCGTTTATTTCAAACTTTAAATATGCGGATTTTTCGCCCAATGGTATTCAATTACATTTTTGTTAAATAATTTAAAAATAAGATGAAGCGTAAACATAATATTTATCATATAAAACAACATTTTTTTCTCTAACCTCAAAGAGGGCATATGATACTACAGTTTAGAAAACCCACAGTAACGCAGTCCCGTGCTTCTACTGATGGAAATTCCATACTGGTGGATAATTCTATATGTTGTTCTTTCTGTTAGATGAAAAAATTCATTTTATAGTTAATAATTGTCCTATCTCGGATGTGCCCGGAGACAACAGGTAAGAGGAGGTATCATGGTGCATGGTGTTTGCAAATGGTATACACAGATTATTACATCTAGTAATTTATCATCAGTTAATTACAACTCCGGGGAACTATTAGAAACACTCAAAATATTAAATTGCGAAATACAACACAAGCTATTCGAGCCAAAGATTTTCTAAGGTTCGACAAGTTTTGTTTTGTAGACATACAATGTGATCCATTTAAATGGATTCACTCATTATCTCAGAAAGTATTAACTTTTCCCAGAATTTGTTTTCTAGAAAATTTAAGAAACAAGCTGCTTTACAGTTTTATATTTATGTTATTTTTTGTCATCCTTATTTTTAGGGGTAAAACTACTAACTACTTTTGATTTATTTTCAAATAGCAACCTACATTAAAAATTCCATATATCGATGGAGTATTAGTTAAAATAAATTAGTGTGTTGAAATTGTTTATTTCTGTCATACCGTTGATGAGATATTCCACTTTTAAGTTTTGATTGGAGGAGAGTAGTAGTGCATTATTAACATACCGCGCGTCGTACCGCCACACAAATGATACTCCACTACTCTTCTCCAACCTTAACTTAAAAGTGGAATGTCTCGATTAGGTTAAGACAACGGCTTGATAGAAATCAAAAATGTCCACATTCAAAAATAAGGGTGACGAAAAATAACATAAATATAAAATTGTGAAGTTGTTTGTTTCTTAAATGCTCTAAAAAAAAATTCCGAATATAGTACTTTCCGAAATAATGATTGTACCCACTTAAATGGATCACCCGTTATATAACGATTCGCCGACGATAGTATAGGTACTCAAGGCTATTTCTCAAAAAGTTTAATGATACGAGTACGATCAAAGTATATTATCTAATACTTAATTCCTTTTCATAATCTAATCAAGTTTTGAACTGTTTCTCGTTTAATTACGAGTTGTAGTCAGTGGTTTGCCCAGGAGTTTTCAATATGAGGGGATGTAACAAATAAGAATTATTAATAAATCATAAAATCGTTTTTTCAACCAAATAACTCGACTATGGGAATTGGTAATTTAAAAGCTAGAATTTAAAAAAAAGTCAGTTTCTAATCAATAAATCGAACTTTTCCTCGTAACTTGGCTATAAAATATGCATTTTAACATTAATTTCGAAATACATACACTGCAGATAAACCTGCATAAACTGGACTGTTTATCTTATAAATACTACGAAAAAGAAAATAATACAATCATAATTTGTATTATTAAACACTAAAAAATTACTATCGTAACATTCATAGTTATCGCGATACAAGACTAATTCATACAAAGAAAATAAAAAATAATTTACAGATTAAAAAATAGCAAATTCACGAGAACAATAGTGTAATAAACGTGCATTTTTAAATGCATGTGTATTACTAAATAATGATATAATATCCAATAGACCTGGTACAACTTACAAGGTTATGCCTAAAGAAAGAATATAATGTTTGAGAAATATGTAAAAATTATTATAAATATTCTATTATTTATTTTAGATTCGTAGCAAGGGATCTATAGATTTTATTACTGCACTTTTTCTGAAAGGAAATCGGACTGGGGTGATACTTTAAATAGGTTATTTTTTGATTTTCTTTGGAGTTTTATTAGAGGAACCGGAAAAAATCGAAGAAAAACGCGAAAATACATAAAATGTAGCAATTAGTTGTAAAGTATTACGGCCGTTTATTTTTTTTGTATTTAACTTTTCTACCAGCAATTTTTCTCAGATTTACAATGATAGCATTTTTTCTAAAAGGCAATCTGACTTGGGTGATACTTTAAAGAAATAATTTTTTTATTTTTACAGGAATTTCCCTAATACATGGAAAAACGGGAAAATAGGTACAATATTAAACAAATATTATTAAAGAAAACACAAAGTTCAATTATTTTACACATTTTTATTTGTAATTATTAATTATTTTAATTATTTTAATATGGCCTAAATATTGTTGAAAAAGCAACGCAATCGACCGAATTTCGCTCAGAACCGTTTTTTCGTCAGCAATGGTTAATCGTAGCGTACAGATATACATTAAATTTCTCTTCTATTACCTTCCCAACTTCTCACCTATAATAGTAGTTACGCCCATCACCATTATTTTAAGACAGATTTTTTAATATCGTTTTATGGTATTATCTTGTTTGTGTTCGAAATGTTTTAAAAATGATCGTAAGTGTACTGTTTTTTATTAAAATATTGTATGTACATTTTACAATAATCATCGTTTGTATTAGGATTTTTTTCGCAATTGTGTTTTAATATTTTCCAATAATAGTTACTTTATTTTTTTTCTTTTGTATAAAATGTTGTTATACATTTTTACGTTTATTCTGATTCCATCTGCACCGGCTAATGTTTACCATGTACAGAATTGTTTATTATATTCTGAGCGCACCTCACGTACATTATTCGACTATGAAAATTAAATGTTCAGTAGTTAGGTATACGTTTATGTATGTATATATGTATAGAATAATTATTTCACGGAGTGTGGTCAAATTGTTGTCTCTGACGCACGTCATTCGACCGTAGTCGATTATGGTAGCGACAGCGTTGTATGATAATATCGGATGGATGGGAAACAAAATTGATCTATTAAATGTATATAAGTCACGTTCAATTATGTTAACAATATTTCTATATCACACATAAAGCCCAATAAGAAATGTATGCCGTTGTATAATTAGTATTATACAACTATATACACACGAGAAATTAAATTACGAGTATAGGAAACGACGACGACTTGCTCTTCGAGTAATCTCCTCTTTGCACGCATTTTCGATGACATTTTTGATAAATAGTACCGAAAGGAAACTCTATTTTGGCGATTATTAAGTTCGAATTATTTTTATACATTCCTATTAGTGCGCTTCATTGTTCATTCGAATTTTAAATAACGTCTTCAATCGCGTTATCGAATAATAATATTCAAACTATTTATGTCTTCGCGGCACGTACGAGTACGTATATTGTACGTAATATTGTAATCACAGAAATTATCTACACCCGAATAACGTAAGTATGTACATACGCTAGTTTGATGAGCTTTGTTTAAAAATATTTTGACTCAATTTTAAATTCGCTAATCAACGTTGTTAACTATATTGTACTATTTGTAATTGGAAACTATTTCCGTTAAACAAAATTATTATTATTATTTGTTTATACCTGTCACTACGATCTACTATTATATCTTTAGAACTTTTTGCCGTTAGTCCGCATCTAGCGTTCATAAAATTCTTGCAAATCATTACGTATCAATTGTTATTTCTGGATTAACTGCCAAATTCCAACAAATAACTTGGAATTGTACGAAACATATTTTCACGTAATATAATATTATTTCTATCGCGGTCTAACGTAATAGCAGGTAACAATAATTGTATTAAGTTTTATTAACATTGAAGATTTGCCAGTTCAAGATTTACTAATGATTCAAAATAACCGTGTAGAAAAAATGTGTTTCTTAAAAATCACTCGTTAAATTCTGAATAATGATTAATATAATTTTAAAACAACTCCTATTCAGTTTATATTAAATTAAATTGTAGAATTCACAGAAACCCGTCTATAATAACTATTAGTAATAAATGAATAATTCATAATACTTCAGTAAAATTAAAAAACTGCAAAACCGCTATCGAAATGATGCATATTCTCCATTCCAGAGAAAAAAATTATATACTCTAATCGTTAATTGGTCTACCTCCAACCATCTTATTTCTTGTATGGCTGCTATCTTATGTTGTAGGTGTCTAGAACATCAGCTAAATTTTGGCTTGCACCTGTTTTATACAGACTTGTCACATTCCTTGTCGCAATTTTAAAATCAGCATTCCGTTTCCAAAAACCAGTCTTAAAACCATGTAATCTTGTCCGAGGCTTGGGTGTATTTGGTTTCATAACAAGGCTCTTTTAGCCCTGCGCTAAACCCCCAACCTGAAGAACCAGTCCACATCATTTAATTAAAGGCAATGTGGGGCTATTGCGATACATTACGCAGTGTATCGGGCGATGCGCGCGCTACTTTCCCTACGCCAGGTCAGTTAAAATTGATCGAGAAAGTAAAATAAAAGTATTTTTAGATTCTAAGTGGAGCGAAGAATTTTATGGTTTTACAAGAATATTTATTTATTTATTTTTTCTATGGACAATTTTTCTACAAAAGATTTTGCTCTGATTTCTACGTGTGCCACCTTTTCTGAAAGGTAATCGATGTTGAGAGGTATTTTAAGGAGGTCATTTTTCGATTTTTCTAGATTTTTCTCATCAAAAGTGGAAAACATAAAAAAACGGAGGAAAAATGGGAAAATGTAAGAAATATAGGTATTAGTTAAAAATATTACGGCCTTCTTTATTCCGGTGGACAAATTTTCTACCAATAATTTTGCTCCAATTTATAATGATAGCAATGTTTCTAAAAGGAAATTTAACTGGAGAGTTACTTTAAAGAGGTAATTTTTTGATTTTCCCATTTTTAACATTTACAGTTATACTTTATTGTACAGTATTTTATATTTTTCCATAAGTTCAAATATCTATTCTGAATAAATTAATAAACTATTCAACGAATCATCAATTACTAATTTTCGGACAATTAGTGAGATTTTTCCCGCTCCTCAAATATACCAAAATATGAAAAATATTTAACCCCAGAACTTTTAAAAATGACACTACTTTTATCTCTGTTTATCATCCCCCTGGTCATAATGCCCCGCGCAAGTGTACCTCTCATACCCCTCTTCAGAGTTTACCCTAAACAATTTTTAGAACTACCCAACATATTCTTTTTCATTCATGTTAAACAAATTTATCAACCTCTAAATTAATTAATATTTTCATATCATACTTTACTTTATTTACTTATTAACACAAAATCATAAATTCAAATTATTTTTTATTTTAATTTAAAGTGTTTTTTGCCGCTATCTTCTATCTCGATAATTTTATTTTTACTTAATGTTTTGAAGAAAACCCCATGAAAATAATGCTGTTATTTTTTATGTTCTTTTAAAACCTCGATATTTCTTTTTACACAATCAGCAATGAACTGTGTCTCTATGGATCCCAACTGTTTATTGGTAGCACACAATAATATAGCTATAAATACAGATATTTTCCTGTCTTAACATTCATCGTTGAGCGTAACGATGATTTTAATAAGTTAAAGGCACTAATCAAACGTTAAACGTCAGCACTGTGAAGTTTAGCAGCTGTCACTCTCACCAACATCATACAAACGCTTAGAAAGTTTTGAAGTATATAAGTAGCGGGGCGTCGAGAGAAACTCTGAGACGGCGTCTCCCTAATAATTATAACATGGCAAAATATTTTCAATTATTTGTGTAATCTATGTGTAAATCTACTTTTCTCATCTATATTTACTATATTGTATGTATGTATAAATATTCTCTTTATCATGGTGTGTGGATAAGTGTGAGTTAACGCATATTGTACGTTCAGAACTAGCGTTGACGACGGACGATGAGTACGTAAAACGAATGAGACGGCTGATCGACAGTCTCTATTCTAATAGATGGGAGGTAAATAAAAGTCTTGGGAGGGGGGAATCATAGCGATAATGGTATTTGTATGGAGCCTGTAATACCAGTGGACTAGTCACTGCCACCGGATGGCACGTTATTCCGCATTCGTTGCGTACATTTGTGTAGTGCGTCGTAAACTTGCCGCGTTTTTTATTAAAAATTAAAAATATAAAATCAAAACATTGTATTTTAGATGAATTGACAAAGATTTTCATTCATTTACGTATGATGAAAGATGTAAATTAAAAAACTAAGTTAATCTAAGTGAATAGTTAATCGGATACGCCATTGAATAAATACTAATATTTCAAGTAAAAATGTATAATATAAATCATCAATAGTTAGACAAAAGTTAAATATCCCCGTAAATTTTATTCACGCACCGCTACTGAAGTATATAATAGTGCACATATTAGGTATGCACAAAATACAATTTCCAGTTATCTCTGTAATAATTTATCTCCAGTAGAGACGTATTTAAAATTTTAATACTCTATGGTAGTATGGTACTGTTTTTGTAACGCTCTTTCATAAGAACACATTACCACGAACTGGCTATTCGAACTGCACATTTTAAATTTCGTTCTGTATACTTACTACTAGCTCTAACATACATTAATTCAGACTTTGCTGAGCAAGTTAACTGTGGGATGGGATTGATATTAAAAACAAAACTACTATTTTATCATGTCTAAAGAATATGATGACCCTTTTAAATGTGGAGCTGAGGTCAGCTTACCCTACATGCGTCCCTAATCTCCAGCAGTTATTTACCCAATGAGTTATAACATTTCAATTTATATTTAGTACGTAATTGTTGTAGGTACATAATGCCATATCCATTCCAAGACAAATCAGTTTTATCCGACACGTTATAACTTATAAACAGTAAACCTAATATTAGTGTGATTCATGTCAACATTTCTAGAAAAATATTCTTTATTCAAATCTGTGTTCAAAAGAGGGGCTCCTATTTAAAATCAAAAGTATGCATTTATTTAAGGTATATGGAGTAGAGATAACAATTAAAAATGGTTTTAAAATAAAGCTTAAACTATTCCATAATGATTAGAAAAAACAGAAATCAAATTCACTTAAAATCTTCTGAGATAATTTCTGGTTCATGATAAAAAAATTACCCTGTAAAAGTATCATTATCAACTAAACTCCACTCAGAATCGTTTTTTCATTAGCGGTGGTTTATTGTTCTTTACATATATACATTCAATTATGTTCTGTATCCTACTTTCAATTTCCCACCTACAACAGTAACTGCACCCACGTGCAAAGTATGTCGGTATTATTTTTACTACCTGTATTACAAAACTTAATTTAATTACAATAAAAGTTAAATAATTTTATATTGTTTACCTTATTGTTACTCATTATAACGTAAACATTGGACTCGTTTGGTCTTCTAAAATTACATAACACTATTATAGTTACTAAATATTGTTTACAATATAAATTTATAAATGATTTTTAAGCGATTCTTTCAATGTATAATTAACGCGATTAATATATTCTATGAGAAAAACCACTAATATCGGACCTGTTAATTAACTATTGCATTAAATTTAATATTTCCAATCAGTATAATTAATAGTCGGTTAACACAAAAACAACATGATGATAACAAATATAACTTTATAAAAAAAAAAAAAAACAATTTTGATCTTTTCATATTCTGTAGATTTGTTTTTCTTATCGCGAATCCATTTATTTCGACCTTTTATCGAGAGCTAGTGAAAAGAATATCTATTTAATTTTTTTTTTCTAATATATACATGTATTATAGACATTCACTATGTGCGAAGAGTATAAAATAAATTACAATTTTAAATAGTAATTACGAATAATTGTTATCATAAAAAGGTACAATTTATACTTACACATAGGACACATAGAATTTAGATCCTCAAGTGTAACAATTTATAGTTCCGGTATAACATGATAACTTACCCCCTGGATAATGATGCCCCCGGTGAGATTTTCCTAGAACAATCTTCCTCCCCCCGCCGTAGGAATATCCTGACAATAATACATTTAAAATTGATAGATTTACAAACATAATTAACATAATATCATATCATATCGAACCTCAACACTTTTATAACTTATTTCGCACCATGGGTAGGACATAGTTGTAAGTGAGTATTTGAGAAATAAAAAAATTAAGGCACTTCCTGATAAAATAATAAGGAGCTAAAAATCGCAAGATGGGTTAAATCGAATTCCAGTACATTTACAACCTATTCGTTTATAATAAATCCGATAATCGTTCAGATTTTTAGTATTTTATTAAGTTTATTTTATATTATAATTTAAAATGTATGAAGTCGTTTTTGTTCATTTTCCAAGTGGTTTTTATAATAGCCAGGAATACCCGTAAAAGAACAGGAAAATTTACGAAAATAATTCTTTTAGTGTTTTAAATTAAGTTTTTTTGTTATAATTTACATGAAAATATTCGTAGACACTTGAGATTTAGACATAAACATTATCATTAAACCATTTATCGTTATAATTTGTAAAATATAAAATTTTTGAAGATAACCTCGTTGGCATTTTTGAGAATATTAACTATTCAAAAACTATATGATTTTTTTGTACCTTCTATTATAAATAAAACATTGTAAAGAATATTATTGTAAAACTCCGATGAGGTTATTGTCCATGAAATATATAGTTGTTATCTACAGATAATTTTTTTTATAACGTGTTGTATCACTAAAATTTTAGGGGTATTTTCGTTTTTTTTATGTAAACATATTTTCGTTATATTTCTCAGGCAGATAAAGAGATCAGATTGAAGACTTTTTAAACCCGGGCGTCCATAATATAATTTTCAGGGAAGAGCTAACTAAAGCCTGTTTACAAACAAGCATTTAAAGAGTAATATGAATGGATATGAAAACACAAGACCCGTAAAAAAACTGAATTATGCGACAAAAAATTAAATTAAAAATAACAAAAGTATTTAGTACTTGTTTGTCATTGTTCCGCCAGTACACCGTATAAAATTTATCGCCGCCACTCTTATTTGTTATCGCCCCACCGCTGTATAGTTGTTTAGTGTGCCGGCATTGTCTCTAAAGTTATAGTGTTTAGCTCGTGGTAGATCTATTTTAAGAAATTTTTTAGGAAATAACTATATTTTGTATCATAAGTGAGTTAATTATTATATCATTAATACATTTCTGGCTTTCGTTATTATGTTACTTTGTTCAAACCAATACGAAAAATTAAATTTAATACGATAAAATAAATTTCATTGAATTACTTACAGTTATTTTCAACGATGATACTGGAATTACGTTTTTACAAAAAAACAATGTAATTAAAGTTAATGAAATGTGTGAAAATGGCCATATAATGTTTATTAAGGGATCGCAATGACGGTGTTAGAAAAGAAGTCGCCGGAAGGAAAAGGGTTTAAGAATTAATAATTGGCTAACTGGTTCTAGACTACTAATACACACAATTGTCCATTTCATTAAATATATGAAATATTTTCAGTAACATTTTGTCAACGTGAATTTAAAATGGGCAAAATGCTGTGGTCGATTGGAGTAATTATCTACGTGAGGTATGTGTATGGAAGTTAGAAAATAATCAAAATAAAGAAATTGGTGGTCCCGGTCTTTTTTTCGAAATAGATGATAGTTTATTTGTGCGTAGAAAAAATAATGCTGGACGTGTTCTGCCACAGCAATAGATTTTCAGATAAATATGTCGGAAAACCAAAACGTGTTTTATAACTAGTGTATCAGATTGATCGGAGAAAATATTGTTACTAAAATACAAAAATATATAAGACCAAGCTCAATAATTTTGTCAGATTGTTGGAAAGCCTACAATAATTTGTAGCAAGCGGGTTTCCAAATTCAAAATTATAGGTGTGGTTGTTAACTACACCTATAATTTTGTTTATCCGGACATAGGGGCACACACCCAAAACATTGAGAGGTTATGGGGATCTGCTAAATGAGGAAATAAAAAGCGTCGTGGAACAAATGAACATTTTCTGGAATCGTATTTGGCAGAATTTATGTGGAAAACACGTTTTGGGGATCAAGATGTATTTGAAACTGTCTTAAAAGATATTTCAGAGTTCTGGCCTTCTTAGCAGTAATTTTTTTTTAAAATTTATAATTATAATACATTTTTTAAATTCAAGTTGTATGTATAAAATAATATTAAATATTGAAATATTTGTTTTTTTAATGTATAAGTACAATATAGATTTTCTATTTTTATTGTTTATTTTATTATATATATTTTATTTATGGCGGGTACCCATTATTTACGTAATTGGTCCAGTTCTTTTTATGTTTTTTTTTTCGATTTTGTTTAATTATTAAAACAACTGCTGAGAAAATAAAAAAAAAAGACTAATACCACTAATTACCCAACTACTTCTAAAATTAAATAAAAAAGGTCTCTTGTCATTTTCCTAGCGGAGCAATCTTTTGGTAGAAAACATAGTTTGCAAAAATTAAAAACAATGAAGTCGGTAACGCCGAAGCACGCCGTAAATTATTTACTTTTTTATCTATAATTTTCTTTCCGTTTTTTTTTATTATAGAAAATATAATATAACAATAATATTTGTTTACAGCAAATAGGTACCTATTGTATGTTATTTGTATTGTTAATTTATTATGACGAGTATATTAAGTAAACAATCACGTTGTCGGTCCATGACAAAACACTGGTTATACAGATATTTATGTTCGTGTACATTTGTTTATTTGTCGACGGAACAACATAATAATAATTTATAACAAACGAACATTTTATTTTTTTTTTTTAATTTCTAAATACAACAGTCAAACTTTTTACAAAAAACGATTGGTCGCATATGGTGTGTGCTAACTGGTGAGGCTCGAAAACTATATACTATTCTTACTGATGGTGTTTTTATTTTTTGTTTGTCATCACTTAGCACCCTTCGCACTTGTAATAAAAAAAATAATGGGTATCATGCCTTTGCAATGCCTTGCAATATTAAAATTATATAACCGGGTTCCCTCTCAAAATATTCCTTATTTAAAATATCCTTATTTAAATATTATTTATTATTTATAATTTTAATACTTTAATTCAAGGTGTACTGCTTAGAAGAAAATATATTGGAATTTTGAATATGACAAATTTCCAATAGGAATATTTTGAGGGTGCACTCATACACATTTTTAATTTTCGAACATATTATTTATTCTGTTATGGAAAACGATTTTATCGAAGTTAATACAAAAGCTTTTTTAAAAATATATATTTTTATTTTTGTTTTGTTTAATTAATATTTCAAAAAATGCATTATTATTATATAACTTATACCTGACTATGATAATTCGGAGATTTTACGAGTATATAGTATGTATAGAGATAAGATTAATTTAACGAAATCAAGACTATAGTATAGTATATAATAATATTATGTTAACTGTATAGATTAGAAACTAATTAGGGCTTGTTTTAAAATAGATAATAACTATTAAAATAATATTACTATTACTTTCAATATTCTATGTTCAATACACAATGCGAACGACATGAGTTAGTACTCAGTAGAGTTCGTAGTTTGAGGATTTTTTTTCATTCTAAAATTCAATTTATAGTCCAGTATAAAAATCTATTGGAAAACTTTCATCGTCATAAATGTATTTTATTAAATATGATATTTGTGTAGTTTACTGTTATTGATGTTATAGACTTAACGAATAAACGCGACACACGGTTCTCAAAGAAAATCAGGTAATAAATGAAAAAAATGCTTATCAGTAGTTACTTCAAAAATTTTATATATATATATATCTATACGAAATATAAATTAAAAATTATAATTATAATTATTAACTTTAAAATAAATAATTTGTATTCGAAATAATAAGGCGGAAACGATTTATTTACACTGTCGTTTTTGCATTTTATATGCAGTCACTGAACCAAAAATTTGACATAAGTATTAATTGCATTGAAATTATATTTACTGTATTTTTTTTTTTGTACATGATGTATTGATGTATAGTCACGCGATCTATACGGTCACTGTTCCAAACAAATTATTGTGATACGAATTATTAACTTAATAACGGTAATTGATCGGAGTTTAATGATAAACTATTATTATTAATTTTACTTAGGAATCTAACCAGATAGGATAGATTAGGATAGGTATTGTTGTCGTTTAAAAGTTGCATTTAATGAGCAAGTACCTAATTATTTAATTACATAATCATTGCCATACTTCAAGGTCTGGGATTTTATGGGAATATAGATAATATTTTAATACCTACCTATACTTTGTTGTGCGTTAGTATGACATAAACATATAGTTAAAGCTAATAAAAAGATATTAAATATTAAGAAGACTGACATACTTCGCACGTGGGTGCAGCCACTGTCGTAGGTGGAAAGTTGAGAAGATGGGATACAGACGGAAATTTAATAATAATAATAATGATGATCTTTATTACGAAATTAATTCTAATTTACTTAATTTAATATAAAATGACAGATACATTTAAAAATTTAAGAAAAAAAAACAATAAAATACATATATAAATATTAAAAATTATATTATTATTATATATAAGAATATGCAATATACAACGTACAACATTTGAATATTGAAATACATTATTAAGAACATTGATTGACGAGTGAAAAAAATTTATGTTATCAATAGTATTGGTGATTGATATTAACATGTAAGATGAAGATAGAGCCATATAATTATTTGAAACACTGGGTAAATAAAAGTGAGATTTATATTAAGTTAAAATTATTAATAAATTAAATTAATTTTAAAATTTAAGAAGAACTCTATTAATTCTGGGCAATCCACAACGTTATTTGATAATTTGTTTAAAAACTTCATGTCTAATAATTTATACCTATCAACCAGAGGCATAATAGTGAAAAAATCATGTACACTATCATAACTAGAGTGAAAAGTTTTCTGTACATTATATTAAATACATAAAAAATCTTAAAAACTTGTTTAGGGTTTTTGAAAGACAATGAAATTGATTAAATAACTTATTACTCCATATTAAACTCGCGTAATCAAGTTGAAAACGGACTGATGAAAAGTATAATAGTTTAAGAACTTGAACATCATGGAAATCTTTACACGTACGTTTAATGAATCCTAATAGAGATAGTGCCTTATTTATAATATTATCAATATGGGAGTTAAAAGAGTGCTTAGAATTAAAAGTAACTCTTAGATAATTTATTTCGCTTACTCTGGTGATTGTACGATTTATTTATTTATTGTATAGTCACAATGGACTATACATTTTTTTAAAGTAAAAGAAATACATTTATATTTCTCTATATTTAGAGACATATCATTGTCTTTACACCATTCATTAAAACAGTTTAAATTATTTTAAAGAAGTAAAGTATTATTATAATAACAAAATTGTTTAATTAGCTTCAAATCATCTACTAGCAATAAAAATGTAGAGTGTTTTATTTTACAGAATACATTATTTATAAAAATCATAAACAATAACGGCGATAAATGGTCACTCTACGGAACGCCAGATGTAGCATAAATATTGTTTGAAATAAAATTTTCGCGCTTGACATTTTGAGTTCTATGAGTTAGAATTGAACAAACCATGAGAGAAGCGGGTCGTAGAAGCCATACGAGTTGAGTTTTAAAATTCATAGATTGTGGTCTACTTTATCGAATGCTTTTCGAGGTCCGTATAAATGACAACTGTTTGAGTTTTTTTAGTGTACGATTTAATAATAAATTGTTTAAAAACACATAAATTGGTAATTGTCGAAAACTCCTGTCCTGTATGAAAACTATGTTGCTCATTTATTAATATATTTTTAAATGTAGGCATTAACTTCTTATTTACAAGTTTTGAAAATAATTTAGGAATATATAAAATTTTAGATATTGAACTGTAATTTTGCACACAGTTTCTATTTTTAAACTGATGAGATAAAGTTTTTAAACAAAGGTTTATAATAAAGGTTTTCCATTTATCGGGAAAAAAATCAGGTTAGCAAAGATTTATTAAATAAAAAGTGAAATACCGGGGCTAATATGAAAGCACACTCTTTTAAAAAAATAGGAGAATTATTATTAGTACCCAGGAGACGTTCTCAAATTTATAGACCAAATCTCATTAAAAATATCACCTAAGTCTAATCTAACTACATTAATAAAGTCCAAATAACTTGTCAGAAAATTGTAATTAGTTAATGTATATTTGTAAGTAACGATAAAACATTGCTAACAAAAAAAACGATTTTGAGCAGAGTTCAGTTGATAGTGTTGTTTTATCAACAATATATATGTCATATTATGATAAAATAATTATGTATGAATTAAACATTTTCTTTAATAGTATTTGTTTAATATTGTACTATTTTCTCGTTCTTCCGTTTTTCCTACGTTTTTTCCCGGTTTTTCGAAAATATTAAGAAAACTCTTGAGAAAATCAAAAAATGACTTCCTTAATGTACCACCCCTGACAGGTTTTCTTTTAGAAAAAGTATTATACTTGTAAATAGGAGTAAAATTTCTGGTAGAAAAGTTTTTTACAGATTAAAAAAATAATAATAATAAACGTCATTGTGTAACATTGTATGTCATTGTCAAAGCTCCTTCACTACACTCAGAATTTAAAGTGTGTATTTAGTATAATCATATCAAATTATCTTTAGGTAAAGTGTTAATTGGGTCTTTTGAATACAATTTAATTATCTGTTTGAAAATGTAAAATACATAATATCATTTAAAGGGAATCGCGTTGTCAGTATATTTTTCTACTCAATCCCCCTTCCCCTCCTACGAGAAAACCTCTCATATCACGTCAGAATTAGAACGGTCCGTTTTCTACAGTTATATTTTTATTGGAGGAAGGCTTCCTACTATATATAGCCCACATTTAACTCCGTTTATCAATACGAAATTCTTAAATTTTATAACACGATACGTGTTTAACAATTAATGTTAATTTGAATAAGCTTCTTTTCATACATTTTTTTTATTATTATTTTAAATCAAATAAAATATCACCGGATTTTGACACGAGTTATAGAACGCTTTTGTCAGTTAAAGAAAAAAACGGCGGTACACAATATTATTATTATTATTGATAACACGTTACCCATATAGGTCTACGTGTGAAGTAATATTCGTCCGTAGAAAACGGCCGTACCCCTTCCTTATAATTGAGATTGGACAGTAAACTAGTGGAAACGTCTTATCATTTATTTGGTCTTTGAATGTAAATATTTATATGTAAAATTTTACGAAAATTTGGAAAATTGGTAGCAAGGTCCTTAGCATGGCCTTGATTCAAAATTAAAACCGAAAGGATGTCTTGACATCGTTTGCGATAGTAATATTAAATATAATACTACAATATCAAATATTCGTAAGTGTGATTTGCAAGTAATGGTACAACAAAGGGTGGTTTTAGGGGTTATAACTCTTCCCATTCTCGAAATTTGAGATTGTTTTTGCGAATTCTACATAATATTATATATTTTGATATTTTTTATTGCAATTACAGACCTACAAGAAAAAATCGTATTATGATGCAAATAATAATACCTACATAACATTATTGATACAAGACTCAAATCTGAGTTATAAACGTAAGGTACTTATATATAATAATAATAATATAAACGTACCTACTTAATATGAATATTTTCTTATCGTCTTTTTTTTACTATTTAACGAGCTGACAGGAAACCACGGGCAACGTCAAATATGCGTACAATGATAATATAGGTATAAATAGAACAACGTAGTGGATGATGTACACACATGATTTATATTCTTTTATTTTTTATATTCGTTAAACGATCGAATGTACGCGATCTCGACGTAGGTATATACATCATTCGTTTTACACGTATACCTATTAGCTATTCCCCTAGGAGAGAGACATACTATATTACCTATTATCTTTTGTTCAATTTATAAAACCCGACAACGACGACGACAACTCGTAATTGCTGTTTATAAAGACTCCCGTTCGTATATATAAGTCGTAGACAGATAAGTACTAGGTAGGCATAGATGATTTTTTTTTTTTACAACATTTTAATCGTGGTAGTGTTTAATCAACTTTTACCGATATGATATCGTATAATCTATGCGTTTATATTAAACCACGTGGAGTTTTTGCATGACTTGTCTGCGAAAATGGGAACAAATTATTAATAATAAATCATAATTCCATAGTCTTTCTCATCGAGTTGTTAAATAACAACAAAGTGATATTTCGAGTATTCTGTATAGAAATTTATGTAACTATATATTATGATGAGCATATAGTGATATCTGCATGCTAATAGTTAGTTCAAGGACAATATAATATAACTTCTTATTAACATAATAACAATAATATAATCATAATATTCAGTAATTTACTTAGGTTTTTTAACCAGTAAAATATATTATAACACGAGCATTAATATTATTTTACTCAACGCAATCAACGACGAGAGCGAAAAGTACGAAAAGCAAAACGTCACGTTTGTTTTAAATGAAAAAATATATAGTTCACGCATACGTATTTGTTATTAAACGTGAAAAAATAAATTCACAAGAACAAAAAACGAGATTTGCAGTTTAAACATCTATATAATGACGTGCCCATTTCCAATGGAAGAGGCATGGGTGCCCACGGGAAATTTATCAGGGAGGACAGTTTATTAGTTAAGTTTTGAATGACTTTTTTTTTTTTTATGTATAACCCTAAATAAGAACATGGCTAGGCCCTTTAATGACCAGACCGACAGCAGAAGCATAATAAAATCAAACGCTATAAAAAAAAATGATAACAAAATTATATAAATTATCTAATTATTAAAGTTATGTTTAAAATTGTGAAGTCCAGGGGGGGTAAATGCCCCGTCTTGTACCCCCTTTAGGGCATTCATAGGAAGAGGATATAGTTAATAACAAACACAATGAATTATGAATAAATCGTAGATCTTTTTCTGTAATACTTAATCCAAGTTAGAAATTTTAAAAGTCGGATCCAAAAAAGCCAAATTTTATTCAAAAAATCAAGTTTATTTTACTAATTGTCGTACCAAAAAATAAAGTGTAGATGACAGGTACTTAAATAATTATTTTGGCTGCAAATATTAAAACATTTGTAAAATTATATTAATTTTTTTTTCGTTAAATAGTTGTTTCAATAAAATTATATTAAGACCGTCATTATTATAGTCTGTATTAAGTAGGTATTAGGTGTAAACGATTTTTCGATAGAATTATTTTATCAAAATATCAGTCCATAATACTTTTTATGTATATAATAATACTAGCTGTCCCGCAACCGGTATTGCCTGTGTAAATTTTTTATTACTTTTACCTTTATTTCCGTTTTGCTTTGCCTATATCAGTATGCTGAACGAAAACAAATACTTGGGAAATGCAGAATAGTCTAGTGGACCAAAAGTGTTCTAGTGTGTCATACATTTTTTCATTCATATTACCAGAGATACCGTACAGCACAAAGATTAAACTATATTTATTATATCCACTACCTACAATAATGCTAAAATTATGGGGACATAATAGTACTTTAGTGTTGTTACTGTAACAAAGAATACAAAGATTGAAACATGATGTTTTACGTGGTTTCACTTTTAACTCATTCACCCAGTATAGTGCGTAGTTTTTTTTTCATTTATGTTACCAAGGTTGTCAATGTGTTATCAAGCTAATAATAGACAGGTAGAAAGTTAGATAGACTCTTTATTTTAAGTTATTATAGTTACTATGGAATTTATATACATATTGTATGTATATTTTTGAATATATTGTAATTCATAATTGAACAAAAATAATTTAGTTTTTGTACCTAAAATAAATAAAAACATTTCATTCCCTTTTAGTTTTATTTTTGAGAAAAAATTAGCCTATGTTCTTCTTCAAAGTCTCATCCTATCTCTATACATATATTCATCAAAATTGATTCAGTGGTTTAGGCATACAAACGCAATAGACAAACTTACTTTCACATGTATAATATTAGTATATAATGTACACTATGTGTACCATACATAGACCGGACAAATTTAAAGTTGCTTGGGATGACTCAAAAATAATTTAATTTTATAAATATTTATCAATAAATATTTTTAGACCAGATTGAACAACTTTAGATGGTAAGAGGTAAACATTAATGAACTTAAGTTTGTTTGACTCCCTCCCTATTATATACTATACATATATATTTTATGTATGTATTTTGAATAGACAGAGACCAATATATTTTTTTTTTTTGGACAATAATGTTTGGTATAACTGATATAGAAGAATACTTAAATTTCAATATTTATGAAAAACTGTTTGACCAGTAAAACACTGAAATATAATATGTGTATTTTATTAACAGTGGCGATTAATTAATCCGTAAAATAATATGCAATATATGATGTCTGTTTTTTTACGACAAACACCTAAGATGTTATATTTTATTATTGTAAAATTTTCTATGCAAATTATTAAATACGTTCAATAATTATTGTAAATACTAAATATTTATAAAACAATTTAAGTGATATGAATCGTATATTAACAATTTTGTGTTTCTATTTTATGCAACATACGTACCTTAATAATATTAATTATATTAAAATTTAGAGAGAAACTAGTTTTATTTAAAACGAGCTGCTCATCAAGCGTGTCAAAATAATATAGGTATTCAGTATTATAAAATGTTGAAATATAATATATAAACATTCCGATAAAATTATTATTATTATATTTGTAATGTGATATTTAAGTTTCTGAGCGTGGCAATTTTATTATGATGTGTACTATTTAATAAAAATTATTTACCGGAAATCTAGCTATAATCAAAAAATGACAAAAGACCTCTTTTGATAAATTTTGGATCTTGTTGGTGCATTGAAGAAGTTATTTTCTATACTTTCAATTTTATGTTTTGTTGTTTTCGGGTTATCAATAATCGTAGAGACCTAACATCTTGACAGAATTTTTATATTAACCTTTTTTTATACGCCGTAAAAGCGGTTGAGCGATTTATAAGCATTTGAAATTTTTTAGTTTTATTTAGTTTTATATGGATACAATTGTTTTAGCTAAGCAGGAATATTAGAGCATTTTAATTGAGATTCATAATAAGTTATACTTACTGGTAAAAAAAAATTCGAGCGTAATGTAGTGTTTTTTTTATCCGTGTTTAAAATTCAAATGTATACGATAATCCTAAAAATTACGGCCTTTTAAAACATGCATAATTGATCTTCGCTCAGAATCGTTTTTTGATAGCAATGGTTTATCTGTACGTAAACAGATATAAATTTAATACATGTATGTATCTTACCTTCCCAACTTTTTATATTTTAAATGGTAATCTACAATAGTTATTCGTGGCACGTTCACCATTTTTTTTACCTGCCTACCTATTCAAAGATTATTATTTAAGATATCCATTTAGCTCATAATAATACAAGTATAATAGTCATAAATATAACGAACTACATTACTTATGTCCTTGACATAATATAATTATATTTTATTTGAGCAAAAGTTCTTAACCTTACCAGTATGCTAATTAAACTTTTTGTTCAATATTCATGAACACAGGAACCTATTATTAAAATGTTTAGATGAACATTCTGGGTTATCGTTTTGAAAAAAAAAAAAAGTATTTCGTTGTAAAAACCCTATTTACTATGATATAATCGCATACTTCTAATTACATATTGTGTAATCTAATTTAACATTATTCTTATTGTTTCGTAGGTGTACAAATTATGTCTATCATTTCCGAGTAAATAACACACAAATAAAACATGGAAAAAACGATGAACCATTCAAATCCATCTACAAATAAAGACAAGGCGCTACGAAACGATACTACCGATGAGGAAGAAGTGGACGAGGAGCACAACAAATGGCAAAAATTAAATTTCGTGTCCAGGGCGAGATACATCTTCAACAACATTTCAGTAGAACCGTTGCTCGGGTTCTATATCGTTTCGAGCGTACTGGGTAGCCTGACCACGCAAAACCTAAATTTGCAAAAAGCGTGCCGAGTGAATTTGAACATGAGCGACGCGGTGTGCACGGCATTGGAGAAACGTATGAAATCGAATTTCACGTCCGACGACGAGGCCCGGGTTCAAGAACTGGTCACCGACATGACGATGTGGCAGTCGATAATCCAGCACACCGTGCCGTGTATATTCGTCGTTTTTATCGGATCGTGGAGCGATCGGACACGCCGGAGGAAGCCCGTGTTGCTGTTGCCCATTTGCGGTGAACTCGTTCGGGTCCTGGGCCTGTTGGTGTGCGTGTACTATTTTTACGAGCTACCGATGGAAGTCGCCGGCCTTGTCGAATCGTTGCCATCATCGCTGACAGGTGGTTGGATGATCATGTTTATGGCGGTGTTTACGTATATTTCGGATGTGACAACAGTAAGCTCATGTATTTTAGACTCGAGCTTTGCGAAGAAGCTAAAATATTATCATAAACATTTGACATTGTAAACAATGGTACGATTTTTTAACGCACTATTAAAAGAAACTGAATTCCCGTCTTTATTTGAAAGATTTTTGGAAATTTCTTTTAACAATAATGGTGAAAAATTAAAAAAAAAACCCCGTATTTTCGGTCTGTATGATCTTCACAGGAAGGGCTCATGCCAATTTTACATGGTTTTCAATGCAAGCAAATTCAGTTTTGAAAGTCGCTAAATGGCATAATGACATATTTCTTAAATGGTCTTAAACTACTAAACAGCCTAACCTAAACGCAGATGTTCTAAATGACTTATGTCTTTGTATCCAAATAAAAACTACATCGTAGTTATTTATGATGTTTTAATTTTCTGTATAAACATATTAAAATATATATATTGTATACCTTTCTGATTTAGTTCAAAAACTACATAAGGCCTAATTATAAAGAAAAGAAAAAGACAAAATTTGACTTAAGTATTTCTTTTGGGGGAATCAAAGATTTATGAGCTAGTGGTCCCACCACCTACAGTTAACCGATCTTCCTCAGACTCGATTTTCCATCGCAATGATTTATCGTTGCTCTCATTTAAGACTTATAATCCATACAGTTAGCTTTCAATGTAATCAACGCTACAATTTTTGAAATCACCCACGTTCCTGCGTATTACACGATTATAAAATTAACTATATTTGTATTTCAGGTGAAAATGAGAACTCTTCGAATAGGAATATTGAATCTATCGTTGACCATAGGCATTTCATTCGGCGTCGCCTTGTCCGGTATAATGTATCAAAAACTTGGTTTTTACGGCATATACTCTGTATGCGCGACAATGTACACAACCGGTTTGATTTACGGAATTATTTACCTCAAAGATAAACGGACGAATAAGCCAGACAACGAAGCGCCTGCTGTTTGTCAAGACAGTAAAATACTGGCTGTTAAAAAAACGTCGTTTTTCACGAATGCCAAGGATTTCTTCGATTTAAAACACATAAAAAACGCATTTGGCGTGACTTTTAAAAAAGGCAATGACAACCGGAGACTTCGAATCATAATGATGATGTTGGTTCTTATGATAATAATGGGGCCGATGACAGGTCAGTATATAATATAATATTTAACTAATTTCTATAGCATATTATAAGAGAAAAAAAATAATATGTATATTTCTATTTTAGATTCTGAGTGAAGCGAAGAAGTGTATGATTTTACAAAGATGTTTTTTTTTTTTTTTTTTTTTTTTTAAGGAAATCTGTATAGGAAGGTACTTTAAGGAAATTATTTTTCGATTTTCTCAAGAGTTTTCTCATCAAACATGAAAAACCAAAAAAAACTGAGGAAAAACGGGAAAATGTACGAAATATATTTGTATGATATTACGATTTTTTTTCTGTGGATAACTTTTCTACCAGAAATTATGCTCCAACATAAAATGATAACAATTTTTCTAAAAGAAAATTTCACTGAGAAGATACTTTAGGGAGGTTATTTCTTGATTTTTTAAAAAGTTTTCCCAAAAATCCAGGAAAAAACACGGGAAAATCAGGAAAAACGGGAAAATCGATACATTAAATAAATATTATTAAAGATAATATACAATGCCTACTTAATTATTTTACCATAATTATGACACATTACATAATGTTGAAAACTATCAACTGAACTCCGCTTAGAATCGTTTTTTCGTTAGCAATCGTTAATCGTTGCTTACCGGTATACATTAAATTATCTATAACAGTGGCTGCACCCGTCTACATTATCCTAGGACATCTTTTTATAACTCTTATTAATTATTTTGATTTTGATTTTAGGTGAAATGTCCGTTATGTATTTGTCTACCAGGAAACGGTTCAACTGGGATGAAGTGAAATACAGCATGTTTTCAGCGTTTACCATGGTCACGGGTTTCATAGGTGAGCCAAAGAATTTATAAACTGCAATAATATTTTTTTCTTTTCAATTTTCTTTTCTTTCCTTATTTTTCTATTCTTAATCTCAGATGCAACAGTGGTCTTTTGTCTTGTAAGGTGCATTCTAGCATAGTTTTCAATCACGTTCTATCCACAAATTTAAATATACTAGGTCATTGCATATACGCTCTAATGTTATCAAATCAAAAACAAAATGTTGGCGTAAGGGTAAAACTGTGTTATACTGTACTCTGTTAATTATTATGTTTACCAACTCATATTTCTATATATTTAGGCGCGTACTCTGCCATTTTGAATATTTATATGTAATTAACCTGATTAATGTTTTTATAAATGTGATTAGATTAGGGTACCAGTGCAATAACCTGGTATAATTTAACCATGAATCTATTTCTACGCCAAGTGTAATTATTCGGAATCAAGTCAAAGGCAATGGCCTCAATATAATATTCGGAATACTATATATTTTTACCAACTCCTTGCTAATTTCCCAGATTTTCCATTTCTCTGTATTTATACGTCTCGCCACTTCTAATCGTTTTTCGATATGCCTTAATAGTTTAATTTTCCGTCAATAAGACTATGCCGTCCTTGATTAAATGTACATTAAAACGATAGTTCTCAAATTTTTTTTATATGCTATTCAAGATATTTAAGTAATTTTTAATGCGTCATATTTAATAGGTAATAAATTTTAAAATTTAACAATGCACGTAGCTAGATGCAGATTATAAAATGAAAGATTAACTTCTTTGTAGACTTTTGCGTTTTTTTCGTAAATTGAATTTTTTTTTTTCAAGTATTTAAATTATCCTCATTTTCAATTTTTAAAATGTTTGGGTGACTTAATCAACATTATTCGTCCAATAATTGAGAAACGCTACTTATGCTAGTAGATCAAATACCTTAGTTTGATAATTGATCGATCCTGATTACTTGTCGATTTTAACAAACGAAATTTATTTCAGGAACATCATTTTCCTTGTGGATTCTTAGCCACAAGTTACAAATAGATGACACTTTGATTGCCGTGATGGCGTGTTGCAGTAAGGTCATCGGTAGTTTTGTGTTTGCGTTCGCACCCAACGAAGTTATATTCTTTTTGGGTTAGTAAAATTATTATTTACGTTAACTAAAAGGCGATAGGGAAATAACAAAACGCATTTGTATTTATCATTCTTATTAATTGTCCAGGTTCAATTGTGGAAATTATTCATGGAGCCGGTTCTATTGCGACGCGGTCTATATTCACCAAGCTAGTTACTCCGGATGAACTCGGTATGAAGTTTGATAATACGTGAATTTGACCATATAATAATACTTAGTAAAGTGAACTATACATACATAATAACTATATATAACCAAAATGAAGTGTTTTTGACAAGCGTTGTACCTAGTGAAACTCAAATTATTTTTCATAACGCCCATATTTTACTGAGATTATAGTAAACATTTTTTATTAATAATTTTACTAATATATACATCTTACTACAGAAATCTCTACTATAATAAATAGTTCGAATCTAGTTTCCAATGGTTTTTAAAAATAATTGGGAAATACTAAAATCAAAGTTATAGGTAAACGTCAAATATTTACGGCTCATCACAGTATTACCGATTTCATTATTATTCATCACTATATTTTTTACTGCTTTATTCAAAAAATACCTAGAGACCTTTTTCGTTAAATTTTGGATTTAGTTGCTCATGAAGTAAGTCGTTTTTTGATTTTTCAAGTAGTTTTTATAATTATTATTTATAATTATAATTATATATAAGTTCTCTCGGAAAATGTTAGACTTCAATTTTTGTAGGGGGGTTTCTGTGACGTCCACTAAACGAACCTCTCTATATGCCCATAGCAGTCAATAATTTTGTGCCTATGATCTCCGTACAAACACACGACGTGCGAGAACGCCGCGGCCGATAACCAATGCTACAATAGTAAACTCCATCTATCCGGGGCAGCAAGTGCGTGAAGAGCATAAAAATGTAAAAAGTCCCACCAACTGGGATATTTGGCCAATTAAAACTTGAAACTTAATTAGGTACTCAACCGAACCATATGCTCCGGTGGTCCGTCGATTTCTCGAGTCATTTCGTTTTTTTTTTTTATTCCTTCCTCGCTACTTTTCTACTCTCGAACACATCTACACTACCGTTAGGACTCAGAATACCTACCGAAGTTGTCCGAAAGGAACCAACCACTTATTCGAGACCATGACCGGGAAAGCCGTCATGGAGTAGACCGTCCATGTCTCATAATGACGGCTATCATCGGTCCGCGGTCATAATGGTATGCGAACAACTTTTTTTTTCATTATACTTCTGTAAGGAAATTACCTTGGCCGGCATCCCCGTTACTGTCCTTTAGTTTTTAAGAATTGGTTTAAGTTTATTTCCTGTCACAATCTGAGTTGTATCCGCGTTTGAATCATTTGTCAGAAAAAAAAAAAAGAAAAAAAACATAGGTATACCTAAATAACATATACATGTATATATTGATGGCAATATACGAAAAACCACATGTATCCCCGAAATAACGTTTTTTTATTATTATTTTTTTCTTTTCTTCTCTTCTTTCTTATTTTCGACAAATTCTACGTCTCCGGCTCTGGGGTCCAGACCAGAGTGAGGTAGGTTGTCGACCTTGAGACCCAGTATATAGACATACCACGGATCGTCACTGGACGCTTATCCCTGACTACTTACAAAGCGGAAGAGGAAGTGAGACATCACAGAGTATACTCTTTAGTTGGGCAGGGTACAGATTTTTTGTATTCTTCGTAATTTTCTACTATCTGTTTCATACAAAACACCGGTTCTATCGTCAATCTCTCAAGCATAAAACCAAACTGTTTTTTAAATATTTATGTTTCACTTTTAATTATTTTTTTATACGATTTATTAAACAGTAAATGTTATGTTATGTTATGTTTGTCACGCGTATAGAATATATGGTAATTATTATTTATTATTCAGCGTAATTATAACCGATAATGTTATGTACGTTTTCCGTATTTGGATTATTTTATATTTCTTTAAATTGCTGAGTTTTAAAATCAAAAATTTGAAAAACGTATAATTATAAAAATCAAACATTTGTTATAGTCTCTTGAAAATTGACATATTAATAGAAAAATTCCCAATTAAATTATTTTATAACATGATGTATCTACATACAAATTTTAAAATAACACAATCTATCTTTATGCATCTATGCTCTTGACAAATTTAAGAAAATTCGATAATAATATGTTACATTCTATCTGTATTTTTATTCTCTGCTTGAAATCGATAAAAGTGAAATACGTGGCGTTTTTTCTTAAACAACGAATATTATTCTAGATGATTTTTTTATTTTTACAGGTCAAGTAAGCGCCGTGGTCGCTGTTTGTGAAGCATTTGTTCCGATGGTTTACGTGCCAATGTACAGCGCGTTTTATAAAGCGACAATGAAAACGTTCCCAGGCGCTTACTTCCTTCTCGGCGGTGGTTTGACCATACCAGCAATATTTATATTTCTGTAAGTGTATAAATTATTTTCAGTTGAAAAAATGCTTATTAAAATACAATATTTACAAATATATAACTTAATGAAACCGATAAATCATTTCAAGAAAAAAATAATAGACCTTTTTACGAAACATGTACCAAAATAATATTATACATAGTAAGATTTACCTAAATTATATTTTCTATTCTGTCTGTCAGGGACTGGAACCAGAACTGAAATAATAGGTTCTGGAACTGGTTTCTCAAGATTATTCGGTAACCAGAATCTTTATTGGAATTCATTTTTATTAATTCAAGAAGCTGGTTACAAAAATGGAAGCTTTTAAATAAAATCAAATTGTTTTCGATTTTTTTAAGTTCCATAAACATAAAAAAGAAATGAAGAATGTTACGTTATCATCGGGGCATTGACACTTATTTCAAATCGCACTCCTAATAATTACTTAATAGCCTCAGATTCTATGTCTGTTTTGCTTTCCTTTAATTCTAATCCTTTTAACTCCTATCTTCTCCTATGTGTTATCGTCTATTTTAACCGTCTTCGTATCGGTCACACTGCTACCTCCCCATGTCTACAAACTAGGTCTAAACGATTCTCCACTCTGTACCCTTCATCTCACTGAAAGCACCTGCAATTTCTCCCGTATTCTCTTTTCTGCCTTTCCCTTTACTTACCATATATTAAGTTACTCAATTCCTTACATTCTTTAATGTGTCCCTCAATCTCTTTCCATTCTCAATACTATTTCCAAGAAAGTTATTTATATAATTATTTATTTCATCTTGGAAACCGGTGTTTACATTTAGTTTAAAGTATTTTTTGTAATTCAAAATTTTAGTTTTCTGTGTATCTTATAGTTTAGTTGATCTCGCTATATATATTATTGTAAATGTTGAGCTGTCATAGTTTTACTAAAAGCTAATAAAAAAAAAAAATTAAAATAAATGATGTTTGCAAAATAAATAATGTAATGAAAATAATAAATTATTAGTGTAAAATATAAATGTGTATTTATTGAAAATTATGAAGACATATTTTTTCGTTTGGTTGGTTCAGACTTAATATAATAAAAATAAAAACTCTTTATTGAAATAGTGTGTAACTATTACTAACCGAAATCGATATTACTAAGAATCGGAATCGAAACTAAAAATTTTACATTAGTATTACACTAAAATTTGAATTTTTTAGAACATATTCTGAACCTATAAAATAATTAACGTTCTGCCTCTACATTCTCCATTACAAAATTTAGATCAAAAATCAAAAATCATTACTAATATCGATTTAACATAAAAGAAATAATATTTTTGACACCGCAGTCTTTCTCGAATAATATAAAACAGCATTTATAATAACGGATTCAACAACACTAAATAATATTATCGCTATTGTCCATTGTAACCACGATAATCTATTATAGTAATTTTATAATTATTGTCGACGTGAGCGGAGAAAACAGTTGTTATTGTGAGGATTATTACTGCAGAGAATAAAGAACAATAGTATTATTTTTTAAATTGTATTTTCATTAAATTCGCATCGGTTACGGGCGTTAAAGTCTATATACAGGTAGAACACGATTGCAAATCACCACTGAAACCAATGAAAGTCCACCTGCATATTTATTTTATTTGTATACATAAAATATTAATAATAGTATATTATGTTATATTTTATTAAAAGATAGATTTACATTATTTTATTGTAACCGTTTCGAATAAGTATTATTATTAAGCAATAAAACACTACAAACTTCGTGTAAAAAACGGCTAAATATAAGAAATTCTGTATTAAAGGTTAAGATTGTATAATTATGGCTAAAGTAATCAATTTCAAAACATTTTAATTAATAACCTAACTGCTAAATAGTTTCAATAATTGTTTGTTCTTATTAAAAGTTGATATTACCTATAATATCGTAGCCTATATGTTCATTTTACGGCATTTCTTTTTAATCTTAGCACCCTCCTACGCGTTGGAATTTGTTTTAAATTTCTTGTATTACACTAAAATAAAATAAAATTTCGAACAATTATGCTTTAGAGCCTAGATAATATATATTTTTTGATAAAATTAAATTTTTCAACACAATTCAACAGCATAATTTTCTATTTTATCACTAATTAGCGTTCTTTGTTTTAAGGTGGATGTATAAGGGAAACAAAGAACGAGCCCGTCGTCAAGAAGAGAACAAAACTACGATAATGCAAAAAAAACCCGATGATACGATTAGTATTTCCAAAACTTACGGGACATCAGAAAAAAATGGTTTCACAAACTTAGCGTTTCAATCTAGCGATTGTACGAAAAATTGAACGGAGAATATTTGAGATATATTGTGAATAAAATAATATTGTTTGTTTAGAGTAAGACATTACATTTTGTACATTTTGTTTGTTTGTTTTATTTTTTTTTAATAATTATACGACTTTACTATAGGTAGCATGTATCAATAATAGATCTTAAGTTTTAATAGTTAAATCTTAAGTTAATGTTATTTTTATAACTTAATAATGTTATTATTTTATATAATTTTTTGAAAAATTATTAATTAATAATTTATATAATTTTTAAAACGATAAAAATAAATAAATGTTTTATTCAGTATCGTTATAACGTTGGTTCAGTGCAGACGTGTTTTAACATTAGTTGCTTTTTCTGTCTTTTCTTTGCGTTTATAATTGTATTAATTGGTCATTAAGTTAACTGTCGTTTACCTGTATATTCTTTATATTTATACCTATCTCATTTCATTGTAATAATTTTAAAGAGGAAATGTTAACGAAATCTGTAATGATGATATTTTTGACAGTGATGATATTAAATGTTCAACGTGTAGTGGATTTTTGCATTTTGCATGTGCTGGGATAAGGGAGACCTCTTTTCGTAAAATGTCAAATAATGCCAGACTAAATTGGTGTTGTAATAACTGCAAATTTTGTGAACCTAATACAAGAATACAGAATACTAAGAATGATATAGTTACGAAAAATATCGAACCTATTAATAATGAGGATATTAAAAGCTTAATAGAATCAGTCAATTTTTATGAGCAATAAATTTGATAGCTTTGAAAAAAAAATGTAAGAAATGGTAACAGTTATTAAAGAAATCAAGGAAGAAAATCAAGAATTCAAAGAGCAAAATAATAAATTAAAATATGAAGTTACAACTCTAGATAAACGTTTGAATGTATTGGAACAAAAAGTAATATAAAATTTCGTTGAAATTGTAGGTGATCCGGAGGTAAATAATGAAGTCTGAGTAAAAACAGTGGTGTCAATCGCTGAGTCTGTAGGAGTGAAAGTAAATATACTAAAAGTTTTTCGTATTTTTCTGAAAATTGAAAATAAACCTAAGAAAATAATGGCAGAAGTACAGACATACCAGAGCAAGAAATCTATGATGGACAGTGCAAGGAAACGAAAATTAATAGGCAAATCTGTTAATACTAATTGGAGTGATGACAAGATTTTTATGAATGACAGTTTAACTGCATTTAATAGAAATCTATTCTTTAAAGCTAGAGTTTTGGCTCATGAAGTGGGCTATAAATATGTTTGGTTTAGGGACTCTAAGTTGTTTATAAAAAAAAAAGAAAGCACCAAAGCCATTATAATTGATAACGAGTTTGCTTTATCTAAATTTACTTAACTTACCACCGTTTTTTATTAGATACATTTAAATGTATTATAATCCTTAATTCATATGGAAAATAATCTTAATATAAGAGGTTATCTTAGTTATAAGACTAATTATTTTAAATTTTTCTCAGAATTTTTTTAAGATGAAAAATAATCTAATTAATAATTATGTAAATATTGTATGTTGTAACATCAGAAGTTTTAACTCAAATTTTGATGAATTGATTTTATTCTTAGAGAATGAGATAGATGGTAAAATAATAGATATGATTGTGTTAACTGAAACCTGGCATGATGTATCTATTCATTGTAATTACAATATTGATGGTTATAATTTATTTTCTTCGGCCATAAATAGGAATCAAAATGATGGCATTTTTATTTTTGTTAAGAATTTTTTTAATGTTGAATTTTATGAATATGATTTTGTTGAAACTAATTTTGTGAAACTTTCCTTGATGAATCTCTGTATACCAATTAATATTCTATGTGCTTCTAGATCGCCCTCGACTGACATAAGCAACTTATAAGTATGTTAAGAAAATTTTTAGATGAATATAAATACAAAGGTGGTTACAATACAATACTCATCGGGGATATGAATATTAACATATTAGGCAATAATTCAAATAATAATGAATATTTGAATTTATTATCAGAAACTCGTTTTGCTTATTTTATTAACATTAACACTAGATCGCCCATAGGTCGTAATCATTCTTGTATTGACCATATTTTTATTAAAAGTAATGATCACCTAATTAGTACAGTAAATGCTGGTATGCTGCAGACTGATATCACTGACCATTTTTCAACCTGTTTTTATTTTTAGAATTAGTCTAAATTTTTAAATTTTATTTTGTAATTATTACTTCATTATTGTTGTATGTTAAAGTATTGTAAAGTAAAAATTCAAGAAATTGTATAGTGTATAGTTAACAACTTGTTTATTTTTATTACTTATCTATTTGTTGTGTATCCATTATATATTAATATTTTTTAATGTACACAATTTATTAAATTTTTGTTAGATCTTTTTTATAAAAGGTATACTCTCAATCCCTAACACATAGCTTAAAAGGGATTGATAATCATAAAATAGTATATAAGTTAATGTATCTATATTGTTAATTTATGATGATTAAAATAAAAAAAACAATTTACTTTATTGTATATATCATATGATAGTACATTTATAGGGAATAGATAGCATTTTTAAATACGATAAAAATAATCGTTTATGCAGTAGCTATATAAAATAAAACGACAAATACTATAGTAAACAAATCACTGTGTAAAATATGATATGTGGTTTTATCTAAAATATAGTGATTTATAAATAGAAATTAATGGAGACATTAAATGAACAGATATATTAGATTTCTTAGATATTTTAAAACGATTAAATTACATTTCAAACGACAAATCAATTCATGATGTTTATTGGAATAAGTTAGTAATCTTTTTTGCACAAATAATGAGATTACGTGCATATGTCTGCATAAACAATGCACTAACGTTTGGCGTTGTCAAAAATTCAAATTTTGAAAATGGGGGCGGGGAGCACTGAAATTATTTTTTTCTTTTCTGTGTTTTGGGTACTTTAAACTAGATTAAAAAAAACCAAACAAACTTTACTTCCATACATTAAAGACAAGAAATCAAAGAATTCAACTATGCATATATAAATTGGGTGACTGGAAATGCGTGAATTCTCCAGATTATTGGTCTAAAACTACGTCATATTTGTCTGTAAAAACGATCTCTTCCTTAAATGAGTATCGAAAGACTAGTAAAAATCTTATTATTAAGGCTATTAAAAGATAATGATAATTTTAAAATTTTACAAAATTTAAAACAAATTGGAAAATTGTTTCTGATCTTCGCAACATTATTAGAGTAGTCCAGAGGTTCCCAACCTTTTTAGTTCTACGGACCACCAATTTTGAAAACAAAACTTTGAGGCCCACTAAACTAATATACAAGTAAAAATAAAACAAATATATACCTATTATATACGTATGACCAATATATATATACCTATAATGAGCATAATATACATACGTCATTAATTAGGAAAACACAGTACAAGAATATTAAAAGTATACGTTTTTATAAAAAAAGAAGTTAATTATTGTTTTCGATTTATGAACACGTTGAACGTTAAACTAAAATCAATGCGATTTTTGAAATGTTTTTTTCTTACGAGAATTCTCAATCGGAATTAAGTATATCGCTACGTGTCCACACTCCATGCCGACCATGATAAAATACGATAAGAATGACAAAAATATTCTAGAATACTATATAAGAAAACGAAAACCTTTACAATTTTACGATGACGTTAATTGTGGGAATATTACTAAATCTCAATTGAAATATAGACGTTTATATTTTAATAATATACATTTTTTTGTAAATTGTCCGACCCTTGGCTTGTATCCTCGACCAGCATCCACGGCCAAGTATCCCTTTGATCACGGCCCACACCTGGGCCGTGGTCCATTGATCGGGAACCGCTGGCGTAGTCTATTATTATGAATTGCATTTTTTTTTTATGGGGGGGGAGGGGGCAGCATTCTAAACATAATCATAAACACATAGGTACAAGAATAACGTTACATCTCGGTTCATTTTTATTATTTAATATCAGGACACAAACACAAAATCTGTAATCATCATTATTATTTAACCGTGGTGTTACCGCCGTGGATGACTTTATGGAAAAACTTCAAAATGTTGGAGTCCACGTCATTGGAGCTCCGAACTGCGGCCTTGCAATCGCCGCGGTCGCTGCGTCGGTAATCGAATCCCAAAGAGCGGAAATCACGTGAACGTATTTCGTCACCACTTTCATGCAAGTCGCCGGCACGGTCATGACGACGCGCATGATCATAGCTTTCGTTGACGTCACGGCCGTTGGTCTTAGTTGGTAGTCTCAGTTTACAGTACAACGGACCACGTGATTGTGGCGGAGCGTTCGATTGTTTCTGGAACTGACAGTCGAGCCCCTGGTGGCTGAAATCATAACAGTAATGTTCGTACTTTGCGTAAGGGTCAAGGGTGGCCCGGAACGTGGTCGAAACTGTGTCGGACGACTTTGTAGTTTCCAAAACGTCGGCGGTGTACGAACGTCGTCCGCCGACCGTTTGCCTCATGCGCCATTCCCGGTTCCGCAACATGCGTTCACGGTGCTCTCTGTCCGCGGGTGGTTTGGCCCACAGCACGTCTATGGAAACGCCAGAATCTATGTCCGTGGCGCCGTCCAAGTTGTCCATGGCCGCTTGGGCGTCTTCCCGGCGGGCGAAGTGAACAAACGAGTAGTTTTTTAAATTCTTCACCCGTTCGATGGTACCGTACCGGCTGAAAACTTTAGTGAGCACTTCCTCGCTGAGCGTGCCACCGTATTGCCGGACGAACAGTATACGGACCACCGCCATGGTATCGTCGTCGAATTCGGGTTCGGGGTCGGCCCAGTCGATGATGGTCCGACATCCGAACATCGTGTTCCAGGACAACCAGCACTTGGCTTCTACGGCCGCGGCTCGAGATTCGTAGTCCAGAAAACAGAAGCCCCGGTGCAGGGTGGGGTTCTCGAAGTTCTTGTAAGTGATCACGCGGACCAGTCCAAACGTTTTCCGTTTCAACTCCGTGCATATATCTTGTTCAGTCTTGGTTTTTGGTAGATTGCCTACGAACAGCCTGTGTGGACAGTGGTTCCGGGTCTGGTCTTCGTTTTTAATCCGGATCCAGTCTCCAGTCTTAGTGCATTCAACGATGGTCGCCATATTATTGTCCACGCAAATATTATAATAATAATCCGTATGGAAAGAGAGAGCCGTCGGAGAGCCGAAATTCGTTTATCACACAGTTTTCCGTATTCGGATTTTCTGTAGACAAATTCGTAATAGTTTGTCTCTAATATTTCTATAGTAGGTACCTACTCATATAGTAATACTCGCGATCGATAGTCTGTCGAATTGTCAATTGAAACAATATTCAGTTTTACCGGGCGAAACGTTAGTGATTTTACAGGCAGCCAGTCGAATATTATTATTTTGAATAATAAATATAGTAAATAAATATATAAATAAAAAATAGATATTTGAATGAATCCTTTCCCTGGAGTATTATGATAAGTGTACTAAGTAAATGATAAGTAGAGTATTACACGACCGGTTTCGAATTAAAAATCCATCATCAGGTATATCACAGTCAAAATGTAGTCGTGTTTTACATTTTGACATCAAATAAAAAACCGAAAACTACATGGGAGCAAACCTTGAAAAAGTTTCGGTATTCATTAATGTCTAGAAGAACAGACATCTTGGGTGAATATTACAAATTAAACTCAAAAAACGCAAATCAAGTTAATTACATGTACTTCCAGCAAGGGCTATTGTACTTGAAAAAAAAATGTTTCAGTCAGAAATTCTTCCTAAGGCCTAGAATCTAGGCGGTCGATGTAACTCAAAAGCCTATAACTTATAAGCGCATTGTATGAAATTTAGTAGACTATAAAAGAAATCGAAGAAAAAATAGTTAGTTTTTAATAAAGAGTTCTTCGACGGATTTACAGTACACGGATAACTAAAAGAGCAGTCTACCGTATTCTTCGAAAACCCGTTATAAATGCTTACCTTATGTACAAGTTGTGTCTGGAAGTCGAAGAAAATCTCAATAGTCAAAGTATAATCATTGTACATCGGAGCCAAATTACTGATAGAAAAGTTGTTCAAGGGAAAATAGAAGGCTGTAATATTTTTAATCAATACCTACATTTTGTACATTTTTCCATTTTTCCTCAATTATTTTTTTATATTTTTTCATATATTTTTAGAAAAATCCTGGGAAAATCGAACACTTGAAAATTGGAGCAAAATCTCTAGTAGAAAAGTTGTCCACAGAAAAAAAAATTAACACCTTTGTAAAACCATTAGCTTCTTTGCTTTTTAAATTTAAGAATTTTAAATTAACGAAATAAATAAATATAAAATAAATGAAGACGGAAAAAAACCTAATAATATTAATTATTATAAATCATTAATCATAATTACCTAATGATTAATAATAAACAATACACGTAACTGTAATGTGAGAAAATAATTGTAAAAAATGTTAGTGATTTTTATTTTTACATAATACAATATTATAGGTAGTAAAAATTCAAAGTTGGCTAACCTGTGATAACAATAAATTATATTTTTCGAAATATTTTATTATCGTTTTATTAGAGATCACACGAGTCATGAACTGTGCAAGATTACTCTGGCATTTTGGAGTGATTTGATTAACTAACACCGTTGGACTCGAATTTAGTAGATAAATTAGCTTATTACTGTTATCCAACTAATTTATCTTGTTTTTGTTTTTGTTATTTTGATTTATGTAGCTTAGTGTAAATAATAAATATGCCATTTCAAATTGTATAATATCTTTTAGATTCTAAGTGGAGCGAAAAAGTTTATGGTTTTACAAAGATGTTTACTTCTTTTTTTTTTGCTGTGGACAACTCTTCTATTAGAGTTCTTGCTCTGATTTTTAAGTATAGTATTTTTTCTGATACAAAATCTAAGTGGAAACGTACTTTAGAAAAATAATTTTTCGATTTTGACTTTTCGATTAAATCATTTTTTCTCGTAGAAAACGTCGTCTGTGTTTTTATAAAATAATAAAATCGTGAAATTGTACCTTTTCCTACGTTTTTTCTCACTTACGTTCTTTTATTTAGAAAATAGCGTCAAAAATCAAAAAAAGACCTCTTAAAAGTACCTTCTAGACAACTTGAGCTTGCAGAAAAATGGCTATACATAAAAATCGGAGTAAGTTTACTAGGAAAAAACGTGTCCACAGTCTAGAAGAAAGAAAGAAAGAAATAATAAAATAATAAACATCTTAGTAAAATCAATAGCTCCTTCGCTAGGCTCGGAATATAAAACGACCTTCTTGTTCATCAACTAGATTACAAATTCAACAGAACAAATCTTTTGATATTTTTTCATTGGAGCAATATTTATGGTAGAAAACATAAGCCGTACAAATTTAAAATAGTGAAACCGTTGTGCTGTAATTTGAACGAAATCGTATATCTTGTGTTATTTGAATTATTATCAAAAATAGTTTAGATATAAAAATAAGACTTTCGCTGTCTTTGGCCGTGTTTTAAAAGGGACAAAATCGATCTCTTGTAATTTTTAGATTAGATTAATATATTACTGGTGGAAAACATTGTTTTAAATGTGTTGCATCATAAATAATAGATACTGAAAATAATTTTCTTAACCCGTCCCCCCACCCCCCGTCCTTAATATACGATTGCTTAATAGAGTATCCACTAACTCGCCACTATACATTCTATACATTTTACGTACTAACTGAATAATTCGATTCCTAATTTCTCATAATATGCATCGTATCTCCGTTATAGTTTACTATTTTAGTAGTAATTGCCCTATATAATTCAACGTGACAATAATTATTGTTAAAATAATTTAATTTAATTGGTAATATTATTATAACAAGATATAAATCTTTAACATCTACAATGTAATTAATAATTATGTATGTATTATATACGTATGTATCGGTTTACCTACCTATAGACGTTATACCAACAACTGAATAATAATGAAATGTATTATATAAGATTATAAATAATGACGTCATTGTATTATGGTAATACGTTATTATAGAAAAACAGTCGTAGTGTACCAACAACACCTACTATGCATTTAGTACGTCTTACTGTATACTGAACAGGGATAACCAGTCCGATATTAGGTAGGTACGCTGACCACCAATAGGTAATGACCGGCTTCCACGCATCGACTAGTATCAGTCGTATTTTGTCGTCCCACTACAACGGACCCGTCTCATCGCCGCCGATGATAATACCACCAGTATAAATATTAATAAGTAAGTAGTTCACCAATATAATTATACGCAATCTAAGCATAATAATATAGTCACGTCGAAATCTATTTTGCCGTACGAAATAATGTTATTGTTATCGCAATACGATATTATATCATTGTGTTCTCTGCAGCGTTTACTACGACGATATTTTTACTGCAGGTCTGCAGTCATGGTCAACCCGTCGGATACACATCCGAAACCTTAATAAAATAACGATCGCATTATACGGGCCGCTGGCCGGGCAACAGAATTTGTTATTATCGGCCGGACAGTTCGCAAAGTGAGTTACCTATCGCCGCTGATGTCGATACGTTAATACTTATGCGATGTATTATTATTTATTTTTACAAATCGTATCCGATAGACTTACTACCTACTTAATTGTTGTGAAACGATGATTTTTTTTAAAAAAAAAGATTTAAATGTTCAATATAATGATACATTTTTTTTTAACGTTTACGACTATTATAGCTGTAACAGAATGCCATTCCGATTTGTATACGCTCTGTTATGCTATATTGTGATAATTCGAGTGTATTATAATATTTACGATAATTACAATTTAGACGTACTCTTGTAAAAATAATTATTTAAAGATAAAAAAAACAAAAAAAGTCAGATAGGTTAAACTTAAACGTAATAATATTACATCAGATTAGAATACATTGTATACCGCATTGCAGAATTTTCGGATGGGATGGCTATCTCATCGTATTTCACTCTCCTTGACATAACTATAATAATAATGTTATATGTATTATTATTTAACTAGCGATCTATAACTACTGTTATTATTAATAATTATTATCATATATATGGGTTCGGTTTAAATTATAATGATAAACAAATATTTATAAAAATATGTTTGAAAAACGATTAGGATTTAATATTATACGCGTAGTAATAATATTTTAAACATCGACTTACTTATGGTCTTAATCGCCATTATTCGCAATATTTATATAATTCCCAACGAAATAAAATAACATTTTATTATAATAATATAGTAGTAAATATTACAGTTGTATTTTATGAAATTCATTTGGAGTTAATAAGGTGCGCAACTAGATGTTACATAATAAATGTAAGGCCGAAGCTGGAAAAAAATATTTCGAGGGCCATTAAGCATCGACAGATAACGCTTCCGGTTTTTGCATTCTAATTATTGACCATTTGATCGTTCTACTAAAAATATTTGAGGCATTCGTCTCCCCTCTGAATCAACTACAGCCACGATATTATCTATCTAATAAATAATATTTTACTTTTGCTATAACGACGCTTCAATTTATAACACTCGAAACTCTACAGTATAATAGCCAAGGTAGATAGCAGCCTGTATCAAAATTATTGATGACAGTCGGTTAAAAAGTTCAATGTTAGGTCTTTTTAATAAGTAAAATTATTATGATTATTAGTTAAAAAATTTGATAGTTTTCTTTAGTTATGTTTTTTTATTATTTTATGACCTTGATAATAGATTTCATTAGTACAGTGGCGTAATCAGAACTTTTGAAGAGGGGTGTCGCATGTCTACATTAAAAAAAAAACCTTTTTTAACACATTTATATATATATTACTTAAACATGGTTGTAAGGGGGTCTCCAGACACCTAAACCACCTCCCTGGTTGCACCACTGCATTAGTATAATTATATATATTTTCTAAAAATTGTCTGAAAAAAAAAGTTATATTTTTCATAAAGAATAAAACAGTCTAAATTTTGAATTTTGAGCGAACTGAGAAATGTATTGGTTTTCTAAATTTGATATTTTTTTATAAAACTTTTAGATTCGAAGCAGAGCGAGGGATTACTATTTTATTTTATTAATTAACGCTACTCCAGCAGTCACACAGTACAGTAAAATTTACAAGTTATATTTTAACAGATTAGTAATAATAAAAAAATATTGAGAATAACAAAAATAAAAACATTTCACAACAAAAAAGAGAGTGTTTTACACATTAATAACAAGTTATAGTGTGAATGCGGCGAATAAAACTGAGGTAGCAGTTAAGGGGAGTTATGGAGGTGTCCGAATTGGTTACCCTACATGTCGAATTGGTTCCCGTTTTAAAAAGGTACTTTATGAAGTTAAGTCGAATTGGTTCCCGTTTAATACCTACATTTATAAAATAAATATATTATTTATAACGTAGTATATTTTTAAACCTTTTTCATACTACGGCGGGTATTTTATAGTTATCAAAGTAATAAAATAATGTATCCGTAGAGTATTGCTAAAATACCGCAATCGATTAGGATAACGTGAATTCATCTGGATATAGCTATATTATGGCTATATATGCCAAATATAAATTACAGAAATATTTCTAGTCTAAAATCTAAATAATATTCTAAGTTGAAAGTCCTATAAGAATGGCAAGGGAAATGTGCGTATTTAACTATCTTACTGCGAACAGTGGGAACCAATTCGACCAGTAGTGGATACATCACAAATTTAAATGGGGACCAATAAATTCGGCTCAACTTCATAAAATATTTTTTTTAAATGGGAACTAATTCGGATATACCATTATAGTGATGTAGCATTCTGTGACTGTGATTGTAGTTCGTGCGATGAAAAAAGACGTAGAACAATGACTGATCTCTTACTGAATATACAGGGACACGAAAATAAATAAAATATAGAATGTCAGAAACATCAATTGAGCTATGTAGTAAAGAGGAAATTACTATGTAGGGATTACTTTTATGGTTTCTTCGTCTGTTTGAAAACAGAATTTCCGAACTTAACCGTAACCGAACTTCGCACAGAATCGTTTTTCATTAGTAATAATTAACCGTTGCATACAGATATGAATTAAATAACTTTATATATTATACTATCTTGATTTCCATCTACAACAGTGGTGCATATATGAACAGAATCAGCTCTTTTTGATTCTGAGTGGAGCAAGGGATTTATTTGTTTTACAATGATGTTTATTAATTTTTTTTCTGTAAACGACTTTAAAACCCGCAATTTTGCTCCAATGTACTATGATAACATTTTTTTTTTTTTAAAGGAAATCTGACTGAAGTTGTACTTTAGGGAGTTATTTTTTAATTTTTCCATGAGTTTTTTCAATAATTGGAAAAAATCGGAAAAAAAGGAAATACTTAGGAAAACAGAAAAATAGGTACAACATTAAAAATATAATAGAGACGAGTTCAGTGACTGGTGTAGGTGAAAATTTGGGAAGGAATGATAAACCATTGCTTACGAAACAACGATTCTGAGCACAGTTCATGATGCAAGTGATGCTTTGTCAACAATATATATGCCATATTATAGTAAAATAAATAAATAGGCTCTATATGTTTTCTTTTATAATATTTGTTTAATGTTGTACCTATTTTCCCAGTTTTCCTACGTTTTTCCCGGTTTTCCCATGTTCTATCTCGGTTTTTCACATTTGCTGAGAAAACTCATGAAAAAAACGAAAAATGACCTCTCTAAAGTACCTCTCTAGTGAAATTTCTTTTTAAAAACATTGCTATTATTAAAATTAAGCGCAAAATTATTGGTTGAAAAGTTGTGCACAGGAAAAAAATAGTAATATTTTAGTAATATATTTCGTATAGTTTCCTTTTTTTTTTGGTTTTTCAAATTTTATAAGAAAACTTTTGAGAAAATTAAAAAGTGACCTCTTTAAAGTACCTCTCCATGCCGATTTTCGTTTAGAAAAAATGCTACACTTGAAAATCCTTCTGGTAGAAAAGTTGTTTACAGATATAAAAAAAAAAAAAACATCTTTGTAAAATCATAAGCTTCTTCGCTCCACTCAGAATCTAAAATACATATGCAATTATTTTATCTTAATATGGTATAAATATTATTGACAATATAACACTATCAACTTAACTCTACTCGGAATCGTTTTTTCGTTTTCAATGGTTTATCGTTGTTTATACAAATATACATTACATTTTTTTTTTGAATCGAATAATGTGCTGGTGCAGCTACAAAGATGGTATTGGCATATTTTTTTGTGGATTTTAACAGTTTAGGAGCCCAAGCAAAATCGTAAAATGCCTTAGTAAAGTCTACTAAATTCCTAGCGATATTTTATTATAATTTTTATAGCATAATGCGACAGTGCCAACTTGACAAACATGGTTAAAGCTAAGTTTAAATTATTTAAATTATTTAACACATTATTATCCATTTACACAAGAATAATTATTTAAACATTTTGGTTTAAACTGTAAACAAATTACGTTCACTTATCAGTTGTCAGTTTACAATGTCATATTTGAATCTGTCGTGTAATCACTTGTCGATTTAATGTGTTTGTAATAATTATCTATACGTATAATTAATAACGCTTTTGTCAATTTACGAATTATCAATCAAATTGTTACGCAAAAATTGAGCTGCAATATGTATTCTAGCCAACATCATTGACTTTTGAATAATATTCTATTCTATATTTTTATTGACAAACCTACAGAATAAAAATTATTTTTTTGACATCAAATATCGTTTGACTTGTTGTGTTACAGAAGACGAAACCATAAGTTTTTGATTTTGATCTCAGTTCCCGGTAGTTTTTCAAATAATCCATAGAGGTGCAGCCTACACAATATTATTGTGATTTATTATATTATTATTGAGTTTAAACATAAAATAGTATCGTTAAAGAAAGTCGAAAATGCAATCTATTTTTCTACAATAAGAGTCCTACCGTCTACTGTAAACCGCGAATGTGTTCTAATGAAATTCAAGGGTCCAAGCCAACGAAATGGTAAAAACTATAAAACTATTATATTACATAACCGAACTATGTTATGAATGAAAATTTGAATTTCAAACGTCATTTATATTAGAATTTATATTGGTTAAACAATGATGCTTATTTTTTTTCTGTGAACAACTTATTTACCAGAAATTTTGATCCGATTTTCAAATGTAGCACCTTTTCTGAAAGGAAATTGACTTAAAATTAACAATGATTGATCTTTAAGTACAGAAATATATTAAATTTCCCTTCTACCTTCCCAATTTCTCACCTACAACAGTGCTAACCAATAAGTATCCGAGTATGTCAGTTTTTTTTTGTGCCGTTCATACAAGTCAATTCGTTATCAACGAATTATAAGTGTCAAATTTGTCTTGCAAAGACACTATTGATAAAAAAAGATACTATAACTGATGAAACTAACACTGTATTTTTGTTATATAATATCAATAGATACGTCGAATCTCTAAATTCAAATAAATTTAAAATTGTATACTCTCAAATATCAAAACCTAAAAAAAAATGTGTTAAAACATATATTTCCGTATGAAAGAATTTTCTGTTCTCTGCATAATATAATATTATGTAAGTAAATGCGTATACAAGTTATTTCGTAATTAATATTTTTCCATAGACAGAAGTAGATTGAATACAGAATTTATGGTATTATATGCAGAGTTGCAAAAAATATTTAAAAAAAAGACATGTTTTTAATGTGGTTTTAAATTGTTTTGTAATATAATATAAAAATCGTATTTTAACATTTGATATACCATATGCTAAACCAAGACTATTTGTTTAAAATGTTTTAAACATGTGGTTAAACACTTTACATGGTATTATAGCGTTTGGTAGTTTCAGATTTATAATTTATAATTTGTTACTTTTTAATGTTTAGTTAATAATTTATTATACGATCTCGATATACCTATATGATAAATGTGATACTAAATATTTCAACTTGATAAACTTGGATTTAAGTTCGGTTTTTGAAAGGTAATATGGAATACTTAAGTATACATTTTAGGATAAATTTCAAATGTTCAACTCTACGGCGCACGCATGTGCAACACAACTTACCTTTTTTTTCTTTTAACACCTATTTTTAGCACCATTCGAATAGTCCTATTTATTTCAAGCTTTTTACTAATAAATTTTTGTTCTATCTCAAAAATTGGATAAAATACAGCCGTTTAAAATGTATAAATAAGGAATAAATGTAAGTAAATTTAGAAGAACATTGGTTATCTAATTCTAGACGTTTAATAAATTATAGTCAATAAGAGTAAAGATAATATAAAGCTGACTGGGAAATAGGTAGTATACTTATGTCGGTAAAAATGTAAATATTTAATTTTATGTTTTTTATTCATTTTTGTTTATTTTGTTAAAAAAAAATTACTTTTTAATATTTAAAATGAAAAATAAACATTATTTAATAAAAATACGATTTAAAAATATGTTTCTAATAAATGTATTTAAAACGCATAAAAAATGGGTAATTAATTAATCCATTTAATCCTAATTAATTAATTTTGGCCAAGCACTCAAGCCTGTGCCTGTCATTATGATACCATATAATTTATAATATTGATATTATTACTCGATGTGTTTTATAATAATATTTAATTAGTTCCAAAGAATGTAAATTACTGATAACAGAAGAATTATACCTGCTGCGTTGTTAATTTTAAGTTTAAAATTAGAAGGCAATTAAAAGTAATTTTTATACTTTTTAAAAGACTCACGTATTGCAATCGTTTTTTTTTTTAAGTTAGAATTGTTTATTTTAATAATTCCGTCTAAAGACGTTTTTTATAAGTATTCGAAATTCTGTTGTATTAATAGAGGCATTTCTAATTTTTTTTTTTAATCAAATAATAACAATTGTTATTCTAATCGTTTTTCCAGAAAATCGAACAAAAACTGAGAAAATTCGGTTACAGTTACGAAAAAGATAAGGATATTCCTTGCATGATGGGTGGGTAACTGTTGTAGGTGTGAATTTGGAAAGGTAGAGGGGAATTTAATGTATATCTGTACTCAACGATTAACCATTGTTAACGAAAAACGATTCCGAACGGAGTTCTGTTAAAAGTGTTAATTTATCAATAATATATTATATACCATATTATGGTAAAATAATTTATTATATTATTATTATTTAATATTGTACCTATTTTCCCGTTTTTCCTAAGTTTTTTCCTGGATTTTCCTGTTTATTATGAAAACAGCTCGGAAAACTAAAAAAATGACCTCCTTAAAGGAACACCCTGGTTAGATTTCCTTTTGAAAAAAGTGCTATAATTGAAAATCGCTGATAAAAAAGTTGTGCACAAATGAAAAAAAAAAAAATGAACATCTTTATAAAATCAATAAATTCCTTGCTCCACTCAGAATCTAAAATACATCTAATTATATTTAGAAAAAAATAACACGAAATGTACAATACTTGAAATTTTAGAACATTTTTTTACTTTAAGTTTAATAATAAACTGACAGCACAAAATCGGTTCCACTGAACAAAATGTTGACATCAAATTTTTAATATCATTCGTATCATAATAATAATATAATATGTATAACCAAAAAAAATAGAGCGAACATTAATTTTAATAATTATACATTTGAAAAAGTGTTTGTAAAAACAAAATCAATTTTTCACGTCAAAAAATGTATGTTAAAATATTATCCGTTTAAATTATAATTTTCAGAGAGTAATAGTGTTACCGTTGTTGACAGGAAGCATGGATTTAACGCAAACCAATCAAAAATCTTTAGAAATCGCCAACACTACTGGAAACGGTGGCAATGATGAGAATGAAGAACGCGATTGGCGAGAAATGGGATTTTGTACCAGAGTCAAATACGTTTTTCAAAATATCACCGTCGAGCCACTCTTGGCGTTTTTCCAAGTGTCGTCCGTACTATCGGCATTGACTACGCAAAATTTGAACTTGAAAAAGGCTTGCCGGGTGAACTTGCAGATGGACGACGAAGTGTGTTTCGGACTGGAAAACAAAAACATCTCGTCGTTCGTTACCGAAGAGGTGCAAGTCCAGCAGGCTGTTGCCGACATGCTCATATGGCAAACGGTCATCCAAAGCAGTATACCGTGCGTCTTGGTTATATTCATCGGATCGTGGAGCGACCGGAACCGAAAACGGAAACCTTGCATGCTCGTTCCGGTTTTAGGCGAGCTGATGCGAAACGCCGGACTATTGTTATGCGTGTTTTATTTCTATGAACTCCCAATGGAGGTGGCCGGTTTAGTGGAGTCTGTACCCACGTCCTTGACGGGCGGACTTACCGTTTTGTATTTGGCCGCGTTTTCCTACATGGGAGACATAAGTTCCGTAAGTGTAATATTTCGCCTATATTTATTTTTCGAGGTTACCAGATATATAATATACTTATGTATAGATACTTAGTATAATAGTAAATTTACTAAAGAACGAAACACCCTAATTCAGTGAAATTGCTTCGTCTTATTATTTTATATTTGAACCATGACAAATAGAAGACTAATGATGTTATATTATTGTTTATTATATCACCTATATAGATTATTTTCTAGTCCATTTTTCCTAATAGATATTGTGTTGTTTGTGTAGCTTATGAACAATGTGTATAAGTAAGTAGTCGGCGCAGTTTCCGTACAATAAAAATATAGATAATATGTCATCGTATATTCCGGAAAAATTTTATTTGGAGTTTTATGGGAAGTTACACAGAAAAAAATAATGAGTGTCACTAGACACTAATACAATATTCTACGACGATGAAGTACGAATTTCGAACGACTTGGATTAAAAATGAACGAATACAAATCCAAATTAAAAATAATAAGTACACTGATTATTATCATTTATTGTTTGTGGTTCGTGTACTTACTCGTGATTAACAGTGTTTTATATAAGTACATTTTAAAATATTATATTAAAAAATATAATGTAAGATAATTGGTAGAATTAACTATACAGATAAAAATGGACAATCAACAACTTTTTATCTAGATAGAAAAAAAAAATGTTTTTTTTTTTTTAGGTACCTAATACCCATCATAAAACTGAAGTAACATTTAGATTTTAAAACGGTTATGAAACTAATGTAACTGAATAACTAATAACTAATTATAAGTAGATTATAAATCGTATTGATACTATAAATTAAATATTTTTCTTTTATTTCTAATAAACTAATGATTTACTGTCTATCTCGATAAGTTAAAATATACAAATATATCCATTGTTGATATACCTATCTAGATAATTTATCGTATCCGATGGATTAACTATCCACCTAGGTGTTGCAAAACGTTTTTTTTAAAGACAAAAATTATTAAGTAATCGAAAAAATAATTTTTCTTAACGTCCGTTTTACTCAATGATGTATTAAACTATCTCACAAGTATTTATACACCCAACTATGTTAAGCCGATTATAAAATATTTATTAAAATTATAATTTGCATTTTGCGCGTACTTTCTCAAAAATAATTATTTAAATATTACAAAACAAAAAAAATTCAGATTAGTTATAAACATCCAGGAATCTAAAGCAGATTTATTATATAAATATAAATATATATAATATAACATTAAACGTAGCCATAAAAAACCCGTATAAAATTAAAAACAGCGAATCTAACATTAGTTACCTATTACAAAAATATATTATTATAAAAGCGTTTTATTTTACAGATAAAAAACCGAACACTCAGGGTGGGCTTAATGAACTTGTTCTTTGGAGCGGCGTGGCCCATAGGCGCTGCGCTGTCCGGCATTTTGTTCCAGAAGTACGGATTCCTCGGGGTGTACTATATTTCCACTGTGCTGTACCTACTGGCCGGTCTGTACGGTTTGGTTCGCATAAAAGAAAATCCGGGCCCTGCGGTTGGAGCAATTACAAATGGATCCGTGGATAAAACCCAAAAACCATGCATGTACTTGATTACTGATTTCTTTAACATGAAACACATAAGAGAAGCACTCCGCGTGACGTTCAAAAAAGGTCCTCGAAAACGGTGGGTTCAGCTCATCATGTTAATGTTCATAATTGTCGTCGTACAAGGTCCGATGCAAGGTTAGTACAATATATAATATTGTTATCTATTATAGTATTATCCGTTACACGATTACACATTGAATTTTAAATGTTGTGAATTTTGAAAAATGTTTGAAATCAAGTACTATCACATGGCGGAAATAACGAATATTTTAAAGGAACGCATGAACAAATCGAAGAATTTTTATTAACCAAAATAATGTTTTCCGATAAAATACAGAACACATATTAAAGTTAAGCAATAAACATTCTGAACATTTTAAAACGAAACTGAGAACATTTTTTTTTCTAGAAATAAAATCCGATATCCCTATATAGTATCTTTGTAAAACAGACAGATAGACAATTAATTAGTTAAATTACAAGAAAATATAATATATTATAAATTGCAAAATAGCTATAAACGATTCAGATTTTCGTTCAATTATTATTCAATTTTAGATTCTGAATCGAGCGAAGAAGCTTCTAGGTTTACAAAGATGTTTTTTTGTGACCAACTTTTCTACCAGTAATTTTGTTCCGACTTTGAATGAGTCCAAAGAATGAAAACCAAAACTCCATGGAAAATCAAAAAATTATCTCTTTATTGCATCATTTATAACAAATAAGTTCTCTTGTTATTTTTCGATTGATCCAAGTTTTCTGTTAGTTATTTATCGACAAAAAAAAAAAAACAACAAAAACACACGTTATAAAACCAATAGATTCACTGTGTTCCGAATCTTAAACAAACATTGTAAGAGTAAATGTTGTATATTCTTGTATAACCGTGTTGTGACGTAAATCCGGATAGTCAAAAAATTCGGATTTGAGACAAAAAGAATTCAGGACTTAAAAATTCAAGAATTCCAATTTTGGATTTCAAAATTATAATCAGTTTTTGAGTTGTATGGAAAATGCCTAAAATAATACAAAATCATAGTTTCGAATTCAAAATTCAGTTTTAAATTAAATTTTTAGATTCTAAAAATCGAATTATCGAATTTCAGCAAATCCTGTAGATTTGTAACAATTACTTGTGTGCACCCTTCGTTATGATAACGCATCAATTTAATTATTACAAATTAGCAATAATTATATTACCTACATAATTCTCATTCGATTTTTCCTGCATAAAAATATGTTTTAGAATAATAATAATTATTATTGTTTTGTAGGAGAAGTCGCAGTCGGCTACTATTACGCACGATTACGGTTCAACTGGAACGAAGTTGACTATAGTATATTCTCTACGTTCCTATTCGTGATAAACATTGTCGGTAAGTTTATAATATTGATATTCTCAATAAGAATTCATTTTATTTTTTATTACAGGTGTCGGATTTGCAATTGGTGTTCTGAGTCACACATTCAAAGTAGATGACGCAATAATCGGTGTCATTTCGTGTTCGAGTAAAGTACTGGCGGGATTCGCTTTCGCGTTTGCTCCCACTCCGTTTTTCTTCTATATGGGTAAGTATTTTTTTTTTTTTATTATTATTATTAGAAAGAATTAAGTCTAGGTTATATGTTCAGATACAGTTTCACGTATATAATATAAGGGCAATAAATGTCAGGTTTTCATTTCGGTTTTGAGTTGTCATGTCGGTACAAATAGTATTGTCGAGAAAAGTTTTTCTTTTTCTTTTCTTTTAAAATATAAAGAAAATATTTTAGAATACCTGATGTATATTATGCAACCCAATATTAATAGGATTAATTTTAATTAGATACAAAAGATAAAAATAAATATACCTAAAATTGGACGCATCATATAAAGCCAACATTATTTTCGTATAATTATTGAGTTGGATACGATATTTTTCGAGTACAAAGTGCACTATTATTACTATCATTATTATATTTATAGTCGATTTAAAACTAAAAACAATTATATTATATGATTGATGGCGTTATTACATAAGACCGAGTATTATACCGAGTAAAATTAAAAAATATATAGTTTTGTAATTAGTATACCTATTACAAGTTTAACGTTTATTTATACTTCATCGAGTAGTTTTTTTTCTTGTTTTTTTGCAATTATAACAACAAATAAAAATATAATGGTGAGCGTGTTACTTTCAGACCTTCGGGCCAACTTCATGGTGAATAAAACGATGCTCACGCAATGATGAAGTATTTTAATTATCTACTAAGCGATCTCGACATCTCTGCCAATATTATTTTGTTTTATACCAGGTCACGCATCTATCCCTAAATACCGTGCATTTTTTAATTTATTTATCAAGGATCAATAATCAACACTTATATAACTGGGAGAATTTTAAAATGTATCATATTATCATATACAAAATATTTGAAAATAATTGTGGTATAATAGTAAATCGTTTTTCTGCCATAATGAACAATCAAATAGTTATTTTAGTGTGCAAAACTATAAGGTACGTTTTATACGAAAACGATAACGAAAAACCTAAGTATACAAAATATTATTACTTTGACACTCAAGAGAAATAAATTAAAACAGAATTATCTATATAACTGTTTTTCACTAATTAAAAGATGATATACTATATAGTATTATTATGTACAACATCCGTGGGCTAACTTAACGATGCGTTAATTGTTGGTGACAACAGTTCAGTAAGGCTCAATATTGCAAGTATAGATAATATCTGAGGGTATGTGTGGCAGCTTGCGTATGCACTATAACGCCAACCTACAGTTGTTATAATAACAAACCATTGTTTATAACAAGTGTCACTATTCACTACAATTAGACAACAAAATAATCTTAAAAACCTAATAATATCTTATTCTGTGATAATATAGGCATAATATAGTAAGGTTATTAAAAGACAACATTGGTAAATTAAATTATTTACTTACAGAAATAGTGTATTTTATGAAAAAAAAGTCCTTATTTAATAATTATTATTACAGTTAAAACATGAGAAATAAAAAAAAATATATGTGTACATAAATATGGTCAATGTCTTTCCCTCTGCGTACGTCACTGCTGTATTAGATGTAATAATTTATCGTTACATTTGTTTTGATTCTTGAAGATTATAATACAATATTAATTTACGACATACAGTACAAATAGTGACTTAGATACAGACGATTGTCAAACACGTGGGTGTGATTTTCACGTCTTGTTTTTAAAAAGAAAGACAAATTCCTTTGGGTATTTATTTTTCACATCTTTCAAAACGATATAAGTGTAAAGTATAATCTAATCTACGGCTCAAATATTAACAATTTATATAATTGTATAATTTAAAATCCAATGTTTAGTTTAAAAAAACGTGATCGTGTACTACTGTTCATTATCGTTCATGAAAAGTCGTTTATAGCAAAACTTGTTTCTGTTGTATAGAATATATTTACCGTTTCATAAGTACATAGTATAGTTATTATAACTATAATTAAAGTAGTAATAGATACGCGCAGTAAATAAAATCGTGGTTGAGTCTGCGCAATTACTATTAAGTTATATAAGTGTAAAGATTTTTCGATATCACTATTCAAAATGAAAAAAAAAAATCAATATTTTTAATGAACAACAACATATATACTATGAAATATTTTCTAAACGTGGTCACCCGTGTTTTTTTTTTTTTGTTAAATTTTGCATATATTTAAATTCTGATTTTTTGAATTTTTAAATGTTATTAAAGCTGATATTTTCGAATAATTAGATTTTTCACAACATTTAAGGAATATATTGTGGTTTTAATACCAACTTAGCAGCACTAATAAAACGTCGCACGCCATGTCGCCAGACAAATGATACTCCACTACTCTCCCCCTACCCATACTTAAAAATGAATATCTTGTCAACGGGTTGATGGAAATTAAAAATGTCAATACTAAAATGTATTTAAAGTAATATTCCATCTAGTATCATTAATATGGGTTTTCATTTGAAAAAACAAAGTTGGTATCATTACAGGTTACTCTTTAAATGCTATGAAAAATCTAAGTATTCGAAAATAACGGCTTTAAATACATTTAAAAATTGTTAACAAATATAGAATTTGAATACATTCAAAATTTAACCGAAAAAAATGAGGTGAATCCCCATAAATAAATACAAATATGTTAGGTTAGGTTTCCTTATAAATGGATAAAACAAAAAAGAGCTAGTACCGCTGATGGATACGTCACTGTTATAGGTCGGAAGTCGGGAAGAGAGGACATACAATTATTTATTATTGATAACAGGTACAAAAATAGAGGTGTACTCTATTACACTTGTAAGTAACGATACACCATTTCTAACGAAAAACAATTCTGAGCAAAATTTGGTTAAACATTTCAAAAGGCCGTAATATTTAAGACTTTCGTCGAAATTTGATTTTTACTCTTATAAAAAATAATAATTATACATTATATACATTTTTTTTTAACCACTAAGTATGACTTATAATGAATTAACTGTGAAATTTTCAAGCATTCTTTTTCATTTCATAGTATAACCATTTTAATCAATAGTGTATCTACTGAATAAAAATTGCGTAAAAATCTTGCAAAATTAAAATGCCTATAAATAGATCAAAAATGGTTCAAATCTTTTGAACATTTTACTTCGTTTAGAAAAAGCAAATATAAGTTTTTGTCAATATTTCAAGTTTCTACGAAAAAATTTAACTGAATTATAACAAAAAAACAAATTTGAAAATAATAAAATAATAATTTACATAAATTTTCCCGTTTTTCTATGCAGTTTAGATAAGCGTAGCAGTGTAGATAAGCTAGTGATTTATTGGCTTTACTATGTTGTTTTTTTTTCTGTAAACAACTTTCCTACCAGAAATCTTGCTCTGATATGTAGAGTATAGAATCTTTTTTGAAAAATAATATTGTCTAGTTGGTACATTAGAGTACATAGAGGTCATTTTTTGAGTTTCAAAAGATTTTCAAAATAATTGTAATAAACCAGAAAGAAAATTGTGGGTAAAACGATAAATAATATTGCCAGGGCCTTATCGGTTCGTTGTTTTAAATTTTTGTTCACTAAGTTTTCTACCAGGCATATTACTCCAATCGAATTATGACAATAGATCTTTTTTATTTTTTTGTAATTTAGTTGATGAGTAAGTTATTCGTTTTTTAATTTTCTTTGTAGTTTTTTTAATAATTGAGAAAAATCTGAAATGATAAAAATGAAAACTGATAAAATTTCTTTATTTTACATTTTTACGGTTTATATTTTTCCCAAAATATTAATATTATATTGTTTAAATTATAAATTGTATTTTTCAAAATATGCGAAAATTATTTTAGAGGTTTTTAATTTCTTTATAAATTATAATATTATAGTAAGGTAATATTTCGTAAAGCGATAAAACATACTTTTTGTGTTACCCAGAATAGATTATGTCGCAGGGCACATCATTTTAGGTTCTGCTTTCCAATTGTTTTATACTTTATATGCCTAAAATGTTTAAACCGATGGTTTTATTATTAATAATAAAACAAATAACAATAATAAAATAACATATATTATCTGTTACAGGTGCCGTCGTTGATATAATGAGCGGTTCTTCGTATATCGTGGTAAGAGCGATACTCTCCAAGATTGTACCGCACGAAGAACTAGGTACTTACAATAATGACGATGTTTTACTCGGTTTGACCAATATACACATCTTCTATTATAATTTATCATTTTCCAATTACAGGGCAAGTATCCGCCATCGTAGCTGTAATCGAAACGATTGTACCCGTTGTGTACAAACCAATGTACAGCGCCATTTACAGAATCACCGTAGAGAAGTTTCCGGGAGCATTTTACGTAATCGGTTCAGTAATGCTTATTCCATCAATATTTTTATATTGGTAAACAAACAAAATTAAAAACGCATACATTTTTTGCTGCACGGGTATTCTACTGATTTAGATGAAAATAGTCAGGGACGGATAGTAAAATCGTCATATCAGAATAATATTCACTTTTTTAACATTTAATAAATTGTAGTATTTCAAAAAACATTTATGAATATATAATTCATTAGTCATTGGTATATTAATGTATACAAAGTCATGAGTGTATTTAAGTATGTAGTTTATTTTGAATTGTTAATAAAAGAGTTAAAGTGGTTAATCTTTTATCTGGAATAGTGGATTTGCGTGTAGTCTTTTTTTTCGGATGGAATCATGTGCATTTATTTAGAATTCGATGAACTCCGTGTAATTAATAATCATACAGATATCTTAAGTTATTCGAATTATATGATACAAAATTCTATTATTTATAATATTTTAATATGCACATTATTGTAGTCCCTCGGGTCCCTCGGCTCTAATAAATATCTATATCTATAGTAAAGGCATAAAATATATTAAGTAGGTAATAATAATTATGCTATTTAAAATGGAATAATTGGATTAATTATTATTGATCATATAATTGAAGTTTAGAATACTAAACATATTATGATACAAATCTTGATATAACATAAATATTATTATGATTTATATTATGTTTCGATAGAAATTTTAATTTGTTCAAAAAATTATAATTCATTAGATATTATTAGTTTAGGTAGGTAAATATTTGTCCGCTATAAATAGTAAAGTTACATAATCTTTTTAAAATATTCGATTTTAATACAAAACTGAGAAGGCTATCTGCAGATATTTGTTGTATCTATAATTTGTCAAGTCTATGTTTTTTAAAAATTTTTTTTAAATTGTACATGTTATAGAATTTATCATTAAAATCGTATTTAACTTCTACTTTAAAAACATGAACATTTTATTAATTTGTAAACATATATTTTAAAATAGAATAAGGTACCTACAAAATATTTTGACAAAGAACTGTGTACAAACGATTAACAATTTTTAATTAAGTAGAAATATAGAATATTAAATCACCTATGGTTAAGTATTTTCGATTTATATTTCATTAAAATTTCAATATTCAAGTATTCAAATTCAATATTTAATAGTCAAATTCAAATATCTGAAGGTGTTAAGCGAATTTAACGATCAAATGTTTTTTAAATAATCTGGACAATTATAAATAACATTTTTATGTAAATGGATGTTTCAAATTTAAAAATTATTAATTAAAGAAAAAACGAAGACAAGTTGTTTAAATTTTAGATTATAAATGGACCAAAGAAGCTTCAATCAAATTCTGCTTTGTTTTTTATTACTCATAGGGAAGAGGACTACAAACATTTATACTTGAATTTTTTTCTTTTATTTTATTATTTACGGAAATTTTAAGATAGCCATTCTGTAAAGATTGTTTTCCTGAAAATTTTAATATATCACACATTTATATCCGATGAATAAATTTTAAGTAAAAACTATTTTAAATTTAAATGTAAATATTTTAGTCCTCTTCCTTGTGAGTAATATAAAAAAATAAATAGAATTTGGTTTTTTTTAATATCTCCGGAGGTATTCAAGGAGTAATCTTTGTAGCCTGTATATATTGTTAACAAAGCGTGTTGCTATCTAACCTAATCATCCGCAACGTAGTTATAAATTCTTATACGATTTTGAGTGTGTAAAGTCAGGAGACTTTAACGTTTTTGCATGAATTTTTTTTAAAATATATGTTGTATGAGTTCACTTATTATAGCTTGTACCTGTGTAAGACAATTTATCGATTTCATTTTGTTTTCAAATACCTTTCACACCAACCCATTTGAGAAGAAATTACAATATATTTAATTTAGATTCTGAGTGGAGTGAGGAGTGGAATGTATTGGTTTTACAGTGATATTTATTTTTATTTTTTTTTTTTTTATCTGACAACAACGTTTTTACCAAAAGTGTTGCTCTGATAGTACTTTCAAGTATAACATTTTTTCTGAGGATATCTGACTTTAGTGGTACATTAAAGAAGTTATTTTTTGATTTTTTATGGGTTTTTATTGTAAATTGGAAAAAAAGGGAAAATTTACGAAATTTATTATTTTAAAATTACGGCCTTTTAAAACATGTATAACCGAACTCTGTTCAGAATTGTTTTTTGTTAGCAACATTAACTGTTACGTAAAGATATACATTAAATTTCCCCTTCTCAACCTTCTCAACTTCTCACCTAAAACAGTGGTCCACCCACATGCGAAGTATATCCGTCTTTATATATACATATTAAAATTTCTTTTAAATAAACTATACAATCTAATGAAATTGAAAAACTCACATTACATAGACCTAAAGAACACTGGGAATCAGACTAAATCTATCGTTTTCATACAAAATTGATAATTGCTAATTTCTTTAAAATTCAAAAACAATATTCTAACCTAGTTTATTACTTACTTTATCAGTAGTCCACAACAATAATTTTGAATTCTATACCGGATATATATTTGTTGTTTATAATATTGTAATGCGTTTAAAAAACACAATATCTTTTTTACAAGGCCATGATAATAGCTTATAAATTATTTACGCATATCTGTTTTCGTATATAACATAATTATTAATTATATTAAAAATATATTTTTCAGGTGGATGTATCGTATTAATATGAATAAAAGTTCCATAAAATATTTCGAAGGAGATGATAAATTAAATGAAGATGTTGATATATTAAAAAAATCTTGAAGACTATATAATCAAAACTATTTATAAGATTGAAAATAAAATATTATGTTATTGCATTTTTAGAGTATATGCAAAATTAATTATTGGACATGTTTTCTATTATATTTTTGTATTCGTATTTTAAATTTTAAGATGAATTATTATAGTATTTAATTTTAATTTTTACGTTGATTAGATGATATTATTATTATGATTGTATGATTTTTTTTTATATTTGTACACAGAGTATGAACTTTTAGAATTGTTTGAAATGTATAAGCATATTATAATATCAAGTTGAACAGATTCCTACATAAGCCAAACATAAAAAACAAAATATAGATATTTGTCATTTCTTGATAAATACCTTTATTTAAATTTAACATTAACAATTAAAAAATTAGTTTAATTTTATTATCAAAAAACTTCTACGTTTATTTTCTCGTCGCTAAAATTACAGACTGGTGCTTTTCTGTACCGAAAATTGTAACAGTAGCAGCTGATACCTACTGAAATACGAACAACGGATTTACTTACCGAGTTATAAAATATAACATTGTTCGTAGATTTAGGATTTTATATTATATAAGCATTGCTCAGTACCTACCTATTGTAATATTAATAAGTTATTAAACGTAAGGATTCGTTTTATAACAAAATAAAATAAATTCAGAATTGTTCTAGTTATTATTTTACTAACGAATTTTATCATAAATTTAAATTAATAATTAAGTGAATTAAGACACCGATCTCAATTTTTTTTGGTTTCACTATTGAGCAAAACTTTTGATGAACTTTATCACAAAAAATGTTTATAATTTAAGAATAAAATGTTAAAAAACCAAAATAATTGAATTCGATTAAATCGAAAAACAACATATGAAATACCACTAGGTATTACGATATTCATCAAAATCAGCACTTTATACTTTTATAAAAAATAATTTGACTATGAATTGCGTACCGTAAGAACACCTTTTAAGAAATCTTTTATACAATTTTCAAATATTCATTCAAAGCTAAAAATATTATCACGTTAAACAGAAAACGGGGTGAAATGTTGGAAAATATTTGCTCGGAACTATATTTTTTTAGAAAAATATTTTGTACAAAACGTATTTTTCAAATTTCAAACTGTTATACCTATAGATAACTCAAAAACTAATAATTTGAAAAAATCGCATGGAAGCTAAACTGCACTTATATTAAAGATAGATTATTATCTTAAATCGTGATCATAACTTTATTACTTGACAAAGCTAGCAAGTTACTCAATATAGGTAACTAAGTAAGTTACTTTCCTTAATTAAACTTAGTTAAGTCACAAGTTCCTAAATAAAAAAACAACCTAGTTAGTTTGCTAGTTACTAATCAAAAATGATAGCAATTAATGATAGCAATTTTTCTAAAATTGTATTTCACAGGCGAAGTACTATAAAGAGGTAATTTTTCGATTTTCTCAAAAGTTTTCTCATCAAATTTGGAAAACCGAAAAAACCTGTAGAAAAACGTAGGACTCCGGGAAAATTGGTATAACATCAAATAAATATTATTAAAAAAAAATATACATAAAAAGCCTAGTTAATTATTTTACTATAATATAGCATAAATATATTGTTGACAAAGCATCACTATCAACTCAGAATTATTTTTTCGTAAGCAATGTTTTATCGTTGCTTACAGGTATACATTAAGTTATCTATAACAATGGCTGCACCTGTCCCTTTTGTCCTAGGACGTATTTTTACTTAAGTGTTTTAATTATATTTTTCAATTTTAATGATATTTTTGTTCATAATTTATCAAGCAATATCTTAAGTCTTAAATTACCATATAATAAGATATATCTGATCAAATCATTTAGTAAAAAAATACATTCTAATAAATCAATTTTTTTTTTTTTGTGAGTAATGTATTAAATTAGCTGCACACATTAACTTTTTCCCCTTAATTTATTGATCTTTATTACTTACATTAACACGCTTAACTATTACAACTGTCAGGATTTTATTTAATTTTTTTAAACAGAGTTTATTTTTTATTTTTTTAACCATTCTTTTATTTTTTGACCTACATCTTAGAAGTATAAACATATTTTTAATAAAAGTTTCTAGAAGTCTTGAAACAAATTGTAGATAAATTGTTATACTTAACAATTCACAGAAATGCTTGAAAATTTTATAGAAGATGTATTATTATATTAAGCCGTACTTAGTGGTAAAAAAAAATTAAGTTTGATGTAGTATTTGTTTTAATATTAAGAGTTTTAAAATCAAATTTTGACGAAAACTTTAAACATGACGACCTTTCAAAACTTTTGAAATAATGATAACAAATTGTTAACTCTAAAAAAATTATTATCAATGTTCATAACCATGGTCATCATAGCTTCTTCGCTCCGCTCAGAATCTAAAAAATTGCGTTTTGCATTGAAATCAGAGCCGTACTCATAAGCATATTTTTTAGGAAATAAAAAAATATTTTTTTTTTATGTTTTAATGATATACGGTATCTACATCTAGATACGTGCATTTTATAAAAATAAGATAAAACACTTATTTTATAGTAAATTATCGTTCTAATCTTTATGATTTCAACCTTTGCTCTTTTAAATATACTTAATACTTATATAAACTTCTATAATAGAATCTATGAGTATACCAGAAGTCCTCTACATTTATTTAGGTACTTCGGTATCATTAGTTTTTGTTTCGAGATAAACGGTATTATCAATTCTATGTTTCATATGATTTAAAAAAATGACAACGAACGAATGATGTTCTAAATTGAAACAAACAATGCAAATATTAATAGGTTCGTCGTATTATAAGACGTTTAATCTAATAATTTATTTATTATTTAATTAAATTTTTCATATTAAAAACTTAATCTATATAGATACACTTATAAACTAATATTTAATACTTATATATTCTACAGGATGATTAGTCTATCGAAAGACACCCATTATCTCGGAAAGTGTAAATGTAGGTATTTTCAGAGATAGAAATCAATTAAATAAGACAACTTTTTCTGAAATATGACTTTCGATTTTCCTTAGAGTTTCCCAAAAAATGTGAAAAACCGGGAAAAAACATGGGAAAACCGGAAAAATTACTACAAAAGTAAACAAATATTATTAAAGAAAATATATAATGTCTATTGTGTTAGTATACCATAATATGACATATACATTATTGACAAAGTATCACTATTAACTTAACTGCGCTCAGAATCGTTTTCTTCTCAGTCTCGTATTATCGTTGCTTACATACATTTATTGAATTTCCTTCTGTATCTTACCTTCCCAATATCCCACCAACAACTGTGGCTGCACCCGCGTGCAATGTATGTCAGTCTGTTTATTTTTTTTATCTTTTATATTCCTTTTTTAATCTTTTTTTCCGTGGCTCGTAATATCTTTTTCTTTCGTGCATCAGATGTAGATCGATCAATCGATTTCTGTTTGGAAGGCATGACTATCGACGATGCAATAGACAAAAAATCAAAGAACACATCTCTTATGTATGTCTATATATTATAATATGTCTGTCTACTTATGTCTTATATCACTAATAAACTGAAGAAACTGAACAATATTGATTTCTTCGTCAACACTACAAATTAAATATTTTCTCTATAATCACGACCAAAAATACGTTTTTATACATATATGAGTGTATATATATACACTCATAGAATCCATACAATAGATCTAATAAGAATTTGCCAATGACAACATAGTTAATTAATAATATTTGTTTTTATATCCGTATATTAACAAGTTAACCCATAAATAAGAATCATTATTTTATCTTCGTAACAAAAGTCAATGTATTAGTATTCTTTTTCATAAGCGTTTTAAATAAAATTTTGTTGATAATCTTAAACATTAGTGCACTTCGAAATATGTCTTACTGAATTTTGTTCCAAATTGTTTTTCGTTAATAATAATTTATAGTTGTGTACATAAATAAATTAGAAAAATGTATTTTTCCGACCTTTCTANAAAAAGAAAAAAATACGGACATATTTCGCATATGGGTGGGCCACTGTTATAGGTGTGAAGTTGGGAAAGTAGTAGAGGGGAAATTGAATGTATATCTGTAAGCAAGAATAAATCATTGCTAACGAAAAAACGATTCTGAGCTGAGTTCAGTTGATAGCGTTGCTGTATCAATAATATATCATCTAACTTTTATATATACCTACATAAATATAAAATAACTTGTCCTGAATGATTCATCATCGTACAGCCCAAAACACTGGACGGATCGGGCTAAAATTTGGCACATAAAAAGCTATTATGACGGAGGTTTCCGCTAAGAAATGATTTTTGAAAATTCAACATCTAAGGGATTAAAATCGGGGTTTATAGGTATATTTGGTACGAATTGCTTATTTTTGTTTTTTTTGTTTAATCGTTGGCTGCCTTGGTGATACGAATGAAATAACAAAAAAATTAGCCCGTACAACACCGGACGGGATAGCTAGTAGGACGAGCGAGTTTTTGGAATTTTTGGAACATTAATTCAATTGTATTTGTTAATTTATGGGTTACCTTGGTGACTTGGATGATAATATGGTCTTCACGGACAAGAAAACTATTAATTTTATCATCTATACTATTATATAGCAATAGCAAAGCATTGCTGGGTCAACTATTATGTCATATTAGAGTAAAATAATTATCTAGGTACTATATATTTTCTTTGTATACATTTGTTTAATATTTTTCTTATTTTCCCGATTTTCCCATGTTTTTTTTCATATGTTGAGAAAATTCCTGAGAATGCTTCGACCAATAAAAGGTGGATACAATTGTAGTTGTAGTTTTACAGAAGGAATTGTTGTAAATACTTTTAATGCACCCCAACTACACCTTTTTTATTATATTATCTATACTTTATCTATAACTAATATTATAATATTTTTGGCTATAATGTGGCCCCTCGTGTTAACTACTGGAATCGATAGTTTACTACTATCATAAGACACCCATTATCTCAGAATGTGTACATATAGGTATTTTCAGAGATTGAAATCATTTTAATAAGACAAATTTTTTTAAAAATAATAATAACAATAAATAAAATTTCTAAAAATTGTATTTTATACTCTGCAATTAGTCCATACTTTTGAATATTTCGAAATCACGTCTTAGTTATATGACAATAACATCAAGCGATTTACGATAAAAGCCAAATTTCATTAATAGCTTGTATGAGATTTAAATAGGCTGAAATAGGTTTAACAGCAGATATAGTATGTGATAAGAGTGATAACAGTAGGTATATGATAACGAAATAAGTATACTAATAGGGAAATAGGTATTGCATGTGATAAGAATAAAAAAAAGGTGGAGTAAGTAGTTGATAATAAGGAATAAATTGTGAAAGGGGGTGGTCAAAATAATTCGATGAAAAGGTGGACGGCTCCATGGCTCCACTCCTGCGTTCCACAATTTCGGGCGGCCATGTTATAGGTAGAGCTCTTGCACCTAGGTTAGAACATACCTTTTTATACTACTTACAATTTCATTATATTCAATTTTTACGATTTATTTTTTCTACCAGAAATATTGCTCCTAAAAAAAAAGGTTTCGTGTTGTTTTTTTTATTGACATTTTAATATA